TATCGCATCGCGCCGTCGTTTCCCGTCTTCTATTCGAATATTTGGTACGGGGCCAGACATTATATCGCGTAATCGATGCCCATCTCTCATCTTCTAAAACATTCGGAGTCGTAATTGTTGCATTATCAGTCGCTTACAGCGGAAAAGCCGACTTCACCCCGGTACCGCGACACCTGCGGCGCGACACTTGCGCCCGACACTTGCGGCGGTATCAGTTCAGTTCCCCGACAATCGGTTCCCCGACAAATCAGTTCCCCGACAATCAGTTCCCCGACAATTATAAGGTGCTATTTTAACGTAATTATAATGGTGGTATCATTCCCTAATTGTCGGGGAACCGATTGTCGGGGAACCGAGTGTCGGGGAACTGATTTTGTCGGGGAACCGATTGGAATTCCTTGCGGCGCGACACTTGCGCCCGACATTTGCGGCGCGACCTTGCGGTTATTTAGTATAAGCTATATAAAAATAGTTTCCGGTGTTATTTGATAAGCTGCATCCGAATTTGGTATTAAAAAACTATAAAAGTCGGGTTTGCGACAGAAGTCACTCAATTTGGAGGGAAAGTGGCCGCTACTTCCTCCGCTCTGCGACTAAAAAAAGGCTTCGTGCCACCCGGGGCCTAGTCGCTTCGGATGGGTGCGAGCTCGTACAGGGTTTCTAAATCGGGGCGCCCGAGGAGCGCGAAGCGCCCAGGCGCCCCGATTTAGAAAGAGTGGAGCGGCAGCCCATCCGAAGCGACGGCCCACCTTGTCTGACGCCCTCAGGGGCGTTCCTCCGACTGCGGGCCGGTTAAATTGCTAATTTTGAACACAAATCCAACAATTAGAAACAAAATCCGTGAAGAAATGCTAAATTTACAACATTTAAACATAATAAATGCTGCGTCGCAAGTGTCGGGCGCAAGTGTCGCGCCGCAAGTGTCGGGAGCCTTCACCCCTACCCCCTGCGCTCTCTGCCCCTCGCCGAAACGCGTTCGACCTGGCTGACTATGCCCAAAATCGTGCAAATAGCCATTCTTGCTACCAAATTACAAAAATCTATTTATGAATTTGAAAAAGAGGTTTTTAGATTCTGTTCTTGATCGGTTTTGGGGTTTCTGACGGCCCTCTATCCGAATCCGAAGAGACCTAAGCTTTAGCTTCTTTCCCCTTTGAGTTATAGTTGGCTTCTGACAGACAGACAGACGGACGGACGGACCGACGCGACTACTGAATTCTTATAGTAATTGTATACCTTATTAACAGATCGAAGCCGTAGTTTAGAGCTTGGAAGCGTCTTTTTGTAGACTAGATCTTGTAGTACCAGCGGCAATCTCTCGATTGGGAAATTGAGGAGTCATTTTTATGGCACGATACTATCTGAAAATAATCAGATTATGGACAGGGCAAAATAGCAGAGATTCTTTTGGGAAATGGGCGAGATACCCATTGAGTAATCAAACGAAATGGCGCCAATGATGCGAGGTCAGAATGAGGTTGCGCTGAAAAGGAGGGAATGTTACCTCGGGGTACGTCGAGCTGACAATGTGATGTCACTCTCTCTCTTGCTCTCTCTATCTATCTCTCGCTTCCTAGCCACCAGATAGCCGATTCTGACCGTTCTAAGCAAAAAAAAAACAAAAAGTTGGCAGCGGTCAGGAGTCGAACCTGCGTCGTTAGATTGACAGGCGCGCCCACTAACCACTTGGCCACGGGTTACCAATCCTTACGGGTTTATGGAAAATTGTATTTTTTCTGGCTATCGCTCTCCCTTTCTCTCACTCTGTCAATTATCTTCCGTGACTCATAAATCTCGATAATTTAAACCCGTTTATTGTGAAGGCAAAAAGGCGATATGTCATGCACAATATCACACTGTATAAAGCTTCGATTTGGCAAAAAAAGTTTAATGATTATAAACGTTTATACGGTTTGTCTGTCTGCTCCCTCTCCGAAATGGCTCGATTTCAATGCCTCTGTCCAATTGCGGTGGTTCACGAGCACTGTGCGTACTTCGACCGGATAAACCTGGAACGATACCGTGATCCTAGTAAAAACCTTTCGATTTTCCGATTTTTCGATTGGGAACGTTAGTTTGCATGCCAGTTCGGCTAGTTGCCAAGTTCCAGCCTTCTTACTAGGGAAGTCCAAGATACCCGCAACACGAATCGGGCTGAAAATTTGCACAGTTATAGAACCGACCATGCTGATCATCGCCTCGTTTTCCGAATTTGCTACCGAGCTTAAATAATTAAGATATTAAACTTTTAAAATGCGCCAAAAACCCGCTACCCTGACCCTGGCTCACTAGAGCGGGTGGGGTTCAAGAGGCCTTTGGGAAGCCCCCTTTCCAGAGCTTCGGTAGTCAACTGGTAAGCGCCTCGCTTCCCAGGTGAAGGGTCCGGGTTCGGACCCGGTCCGCGCATTTCTCCTTTGCTTTTTGCTAATTTTGCGCCGCACATGTGGCGCGTGTCCAGATTGTGTTTTGCACACGTATTTACGTACATCCTAGAAATCAATTCAACGAAATCATAAATTTTATACTTAATAAAAGTTCATAAAAAACAACGCTAGTAAAAAAATTGTTAAAAACCGGTATTCCGTAATTCGACGGCGGCAACCGGCTCATCTGCGTATAGTAAAAAAACACATTCTGGACACGCGCCACATGTGCGGCGCAAAATTAGCAAAAAGCAAAAGAAAAATGCACGGACCGGGTCCGAATGTTTTAATGTTCCGAATGTCCGTTTAGTGTTCCAATTTCATGTGGAAATAGATGATCATTAGCGCGTCGAAAATGTAGATGAACACTTGGGATACCGTATCTCCGATTGAGTCCTGAAAAATTCCATATTTTTAAGGTTTCTGGTACATTTTTTACATGTTTTACACAATGGAATCACCAGTGGAGTGGCCGAGTGGTAAGCAGCTCACTTGATAGGATGCTGACCAGAGTTCGAACCCGCTCACGATTTTTTTATCATTATCACGATTATCACGACAAATGCCCCCACACTCACGCCGTAATGCCAACCATCTTTGCCCACCTGAAAAAGCGGGGAATTAAATTGTTTTAATGAGATCAATGGCCAAAATCTATTCAATTTAACGATTTGGCATTGCAACATCCTGTAAAACAACAAATTTTCATGGAATTAGCGTTAAAACTGCTCCAAAATATCCAATTTTAACTGAATTTGGTCCGAAAATGCATTCAAAAACTCTATTTTCGTCAATTTAGCATTAGAAATACGAAATTTAAATAAATTCGGCATAAAATCCTCAAAACAGACAAATCTTGCTTGCGTGGTGTCGGCTCAAAAATACGCCAGAAAGTTTCCTTGTGCCCGGTATATCATTACAGATATTGTAAAATACCTATTTTTAACAACAAGAATATTTAAAACCCGGCCAGGAAGCTCAGATCTAGTAAATTTGGCTTAAAATGGCATCAAAAAGCTTAAATGAAGCTCAGTCCTACTATATATAAAAAATAGTGTCTGTGTGTGTGTGTGTGAGTGTGTGCCACTTTGCATGCAACTTCCGTCAGGTTGTTCCAGCAGTATCTCAAGAAGGGAGGAACTTAGGGGTATGCATGATACGTCATTAGGTGCCTAATGTCCAGGAGATGACTGCACGCATATCAGATTTTGCAAATTATGCTATTTTCGACATTAAAAAACAATTTTTGTAAAAAAATCGGGCAGCCTCTTTGTTAGGAATTGATTAGCATACGCCGGAAGTGGGAGTAGCCTACATAAAGGAGCAGAGAGCGCATTTTTTACTCTTTTGGAGTGGGGTGGGCCGAATTATGCAGAGTGTAAACTGTCATTGGTCCATAACGGGGCCAGGGTTGAAAAGTCGCGAAGCGGCTTTTTAACCCTGGTTTGGTCTTAAAACCCTTAAAAAAATAGTGCAGTGCTAATAAAAGTGCTCAAAAAAATTTAATCTACTTTTAGGTTACTTTTTACGGGTTTTGATTTGAAGATTTGGTCCAAAAAGTTTGACCAACTGTAATTTTACTGAAAAACGTACCCTTTCATCAGCCCGTTCCTGGCATGTCTTGTAAAATTTCATCTTTTCCGGGATGAGAATCGAGACGAGCCGAAGGTAGACGTACTCCGCAAAGCCCAATACATACTGAAAAATGGTTTTTATGTTTTAAAATCGATTTTACAGCTCCCTTGACAATTTTTATAACGCTTACAAGGTTTTTAATCCTTCAAAAAGCGTATTTAATAAATTTTCTAGACATTTTAACCTACCGCGGTTATAACGACGCAATAAGCAATCGTATAATAGTGGGCGTTCAGCGTATTGTCAATTCGTTCGACCTAAAACTCAATAAAAACGATATTTCTGGAAAAACTGACCACAGAGCCCTCTCCGGTCATATCCGGCAGACTCGGCAACTCGTCAATCGTCCGCTGCAGTCGCTCGAAGATTGACGGGCGCTTAAAATTAACGTTTTTACATATTTTTATTGATTTTTGAAATTTTGTGACCCATTTTTGGAGTTTTCCGGAACCATACTCGCTACGCCACTACGTCAATTGGACTGTTCTGTACGAGAAACATGAAAATTTTCAAGGAAATCCCTGAAAACATTCAAAATTGGTCGTTTTGCTCTAGCAAACAAGTTTGGATGAAAATTTTCGCGTCGGAAGGCTTGTAAAGCCAAAAAAATGGCTCGAATACGCTAAAAATTCGGCTTTTCTCGAAGTTTTTAACGCAAATTTTGCATATTAATTTATATCTCTCTTTTTGCAGATGGGCGCCCAGCTGAGCACGTTCGTCTGCTTCCAATGCGCCACCTGCGGCAAACCGTTCAACGCCCACATCCACGGCCGAAAGCCGGTGATCGGCCCCGGACGCTACGACATCATCTGCCAGGGCTGTGCCCGATACGGAGGCTCCGATCCCGTGCAGCTGGTCTTGGATCTTCTCAACACCGACTTCAAGCGCTGCCACAAATCGTCGATCCCGAAATGTCCGGCGTGCAATCAGCCGGCGGATAGTATGGAACGACTTCCGATGCTCGCCAGATGTGGCCATTCATGGGTTTGTGGCTTCTGCGCCCTCACCGCCGAGGATCGCCACTTTTTGAACTGCAACGTTTGTGGGCGGCTGGCCAGCGAATACGTGCCGTGGACACGATATTTGAGCTGTCTGCTGGTAAGCGCATTTTCCGCTTCAAAATGGGTGCTTTTGCATTAGCGGGGGGTCGTATAATTCTAGAAACCCCTACTAAGTGCTCACAAGTATTTTAATGGGGTCTGCAACAGAAGCTAGCAGTTGGGAAGCCAAAATAAGTCTAAAATTTGCATTTTTTGGCCAAAAAAATCTATTTACTTGTATTTGTTTTAACAAAACAAGGGTTTTTCGTTTGGCAATAGTCTAAAAATCTTTAATAATGTAATAGTGAGTATTTTAATCGCGTTTGGAACAAGATTCGGGGGTAGCGGGCGTAGCCCGCTAACCCCTTTTGGTTTGAGGTACCCCCCCATACGACTCTTTTGGGGTCCTTTTCCGGATTTAAAAAAGAACCATGCATCGGATCGCCAAACTGAATACGCCATCGGAACCGGCGACATTTTTTGCATAGTATAAGCTTTTAAAAACTGAAAAAGAGTTAAATTTCGAATTTTAACAGCCGATTTAAATTGCGTTTCGAGGGGGGTCTGCGTTTGTTTGTATGTATGTATGTACGCAAAACCTTTGTAGTCGTCAAAAAGTGCCTTCCCATGGTCCGTTTGGGCTGAAATTTTCCACATATATCGACTTGATGTAAATGAAGGTGAGGAAGAAGCGTTTTTTTCAAAATAGGCTTTTAAAAAATTTATATTTAATTTTTAAGTTTAAAAGCTAAATTGCGGCCAAAACATGTGTTAGTGATGTCCGTTTGGGCTGAAATTTTGCTCAAATATGCATTAGACCATGCCGGAAAAAGTAAAGAAGAAATTGCATCGAAAGAATGCTTCTTCTCTGAGATATTATAACTTTAAACCTTCGCCATACGGGGCGCCACCCTCCCCTTTCTCGGCCCCCTTTCCCCGGGTCAGCAGGGCGGGTCTAGGTCCCCGAGGACAGGCCTCCAGTCTCCCGGTTGGCCTAGTGGTTAGCACGCTGTTCTGGGAAGACTTGGCTCGCGGGTTCGAACCCCGCCCGCAACATCATTTTTGCCGATTGGCCCGAATGCATCGTTAAGGCTTTTAGTACCGTTACAAAGCGCCGCAGGCAAATTTTTTTGAAGTATTGCGTACAAGGGTTCATCTGAATAAATATCCCATGACTTATTCTATGATCTTAACAACAAAATTGAGGCAAAAAGGGCTAAATTCTCTCTAAGGCTAAAAAGTGTCTTTTCAAAAAAGGGCTTTTGGTTTTCGCAAAAAGAGAAGAATTCTCGTGGCAACAAAAAGTGCTAAATTCCTTTAAAACTCTGAAAAATTCCACAAAATGGGGAACAACAAAAAGCTGCTGGCTAATTAAAATATTAATAAACTTGGGGCTGCTTTAGATGACAGGTCAAGTCCACAGATTAATTTCAAGAAAATGGATCATAATACAGAAATTTATTTATAAGCCGAAACGGCTAAAAACGAGTCTGTCCCTTTTAATAAGGTGCCAGCAACTTTTGGTTGATCCCACATTTTGTGGAATTTTTCAGAGTTTTAAAGGAATTTAGCACTTTTTGTTGCCACGAGAATTGATCTCTTTTTTGCGAAAACCAAAAGCCCTTTTTTGAAAAGACACTTTTTAGCCTTAGAGTTAGCATTTAGAAGGGCACAAAAATAGTTTAAAATTTGAAATTTTAGCAAAAAATCAATATTTTCATATTAGGGCGCTTAGCGATATACTTACTAAAGTAAAAAAACATAAAAAATACATGTATTTCTGGTAGAAAATTTAAGGCAAAAACTTGCCCCCCGATAACGCAAAAAGAATCACTACATTTTTCTAGGGCCAAACGTTCTTCGGCGTCGACGACGACAAGCAACAGCAGCAGTCGCTGCCAAAACCCGATGAACGACTCGCCATCACATATCCAATCGAGGGCCGCATGGAGAAATATGAAAAGCAGCTGGAGACGCTCAAGGAGTTCATCGTCATCACCCACAAAATCAACCAGAAGGTGGAGAAGAACAAGGAGATGCTCGAGTCGATTGCCCGCCATCAACAGATCCCTGCCCCTCGTCCCGTGAATACCCACAACAACGCATTGGAAGAAAAGATGAACATGCAATTCACCATCGTTCTCACGTTGCTATGCTTCAATTTGTTCGTTTTGTTGGCCTTGCTTTTCAAATAAACGTTGTTAGTTGTGCCGTCGAGTTTATATCACCGTGCTTTTTAAAGCAGTCTTAATATTTTATAGATATAAACTTTATTTTTTATAATTTATTGTGTTTTCTCCAAGAAAATTTTGTAATAATTTATCTTTTTTAGATAGGCGCTGAAAATTAAAATTTTTGTTGATTTTCTAAAATTTTTGCCGTTTGAGTTTTCCGGAACCATACTCACTACGATACGGCGTCAATTGGACTGTTCTGCACCGGAAAATGGAATTTTTTCAAGGGAACGCTGAAAAAAGCGAAAACCGAGCCTTTTGCTGGAGAAAATAAGTAGAAAACTAAAGTACTTTTGTCTAAAAACAAGAAAAAGTATCCAATAAAAATTCGATGTGTTGTGTATCTTTTATAGATCCTTATTTATCTCCTTTTTTCAGATGGGCGCCGACTTCAGCCTCAACCCGTGCGTCTCTTGCCAGAAATGTAACGAAAGGTTCAGCACAACTGTCCCGGGAAGGAAGCCAGTATTCAACAAGACGGGCCACGACATTGTATGCGAACAATGTGCCGAGGAGGGACATTCAGATCCCATCCAGCTGCTCATGAGTCTTCTCTACACCGATTTCAAAGATTTCGACAGCGCCGCGATCCCAAGGTGTCCAGGCTGCAAGAAACCGGCAGATTGTATGGATCGTCTTCCGCTGCTATCGAGGTGCGGACATGCCTGGATATGCTACACTTGCATGTTCATCAAGGATGACGGCGATGGGTCGTGTCGAATCTGTCATGATCGATCGGAATCGAAACAGGAACCCGTTTACTGGGTCAAATATACCTTCTTCCTTGGAATGAAAATGTGCGCCGAGCACCGTAAAAAGTCCATGGCTAACAAACAGGGAAATGTCGACGTAGATGCTCAGGAAAACAAGGAAAAGCTGGAGATGCTCGACGAAATCAATTCCCACGTTGAGGAGATCAAGAAGAAACAGGCCGTTCTTGATGAATCGACACTCAATCGCCAATTCTGCAGCAGCCTCAAGCGAAATGATAAAAAGATTTACCTGCTTTCGATCGTCATTATTATTCTCATCTTGCTATGCTTCAATTTGTTCATTTTGTTGATTCTGCTGCCGAAATAATCCTTTTTACTTCTGCCGTTGAGCTTGATACTTGATAAGAAACCTCCAAAATCATTTCCACATATTATCATTTTCCTGCTCCTTTATTTTTGATCTGGCTCGAATAATTTCCTTGTTTTCAGATGGGCGCCGAGATGAGCATGATGCAGTGCTTCTACTGCTCCAAATGCCACCGTCCATTCCACCCGTCAACCCCCGGAAGTCGTCCATTCATCGTCAAGCACCGCAACGACATCCGTTGCCAAATGTGCGTCGGAGCGGGCGGATCGGGTCCTGTCGAGCTGATCCTCGCCCTCCTCGACACAAACTTCAAGAACGGGGATGAGTCGCAGGTACTTTCGCGTTATCGGGTGGGGGGATAAACTTTTTCTTGGGTTCTTTTGTCTGATATAAATAGAGGAGGTTTTTATAACTTTTGTTACTATGTCAAAACCTCAAAAACCTGAAATTTTTGTGCAAATTACTATAAATATCGGATTTTCCCTCCAAAAACCCGATCTTAGACCAAAAAGAGGATTTTTAAAGAAATTTTCGAAGTTTTTGGATAGTTTTTTTGCGCTTGAAACATAGTTAAATTTACTAAAAATTTATTCTACGATCGAAAATAGCCGTTTCACACTAAAAGTGAAATTTTTGGGTCGTTTTACACTTGAAATTTAGTGAAATTTGGCAAACTAAAAAAACCACAAAATTCCTTAGTATTGCATTAGTAGGCTTTTCTGGGCTAATATGAAAAAAAAACAAGAAAACCCGTCACCTAACTTCGAAATTTCAGATTCCGAGATGCCCAGGCTGCAAGAAGCCGGCAGATTGTATGGATCGCTTCCCGATGCTGCCGAGATGTGGCCACACGTGGAGATGCTATACCTGCATGTTGGATACGCCGAAAGACGGGCCCCCTACCTGCCAGACGTGCCACTACCAATCCAAGCAGCAGCCCGAATTCATGCCGTGGAAGAACTACGTCGAATTCTTGTGGCTGCACGCCAAAAAAGCCCAAAAACAGCCGGCAGCACCCCCGAAATACGAGGAGGACCTCGAAAGGGGAATCGTCAATGTTATGCAAGAGAAAGAGGATGGATATCTTGCCATAAGCCGCCAAATCGACGCCCATTTCTTGGAAAGTGAGCAAAAGCTGGAGATGCTCGACGAAATCAATTCCCACGTCGAGGAGATCAAGAAGAAACTGGCCGTGCTAGATGAATCGACACTCAATCGCCAAATCTACAGCCGCCTCAAGCGAAATGATAAAAAGATTTACCTTCTTTCGATCGTTAATAACGATTCGTTATTATTATCCTCGCATTGATTTCCGCTGGTTTGCTCGTTATTTTGATGTTGCAGTGATTGTTTGGGTTTGCTAATAAACTTTTTGAATTAAAAAGGTGGATGAAGCTGAATTCGGATTTATACTCACAAAAATACATTTTCAGCGCTTTTGCAATATCGAGGAGCGAATGTTTTTCTTTTATTATTAGCCCAGAAATTCCGGTGACTTATGAAAAAGTATTTCTAGCAAGTTTAGCTATTTTTCAAAGGTAGAAAATAATTTAAAAGTTATGAAAAGCTGACGTTTTAGTTGAAAAAGGCTTTTTTTGGGCAAAAAATCTTAATTTGTTTACGTTTTGCGGCATAAAAAATCGCTTAGAAACATTCCCTTTATACTAGAAAAAGCTGTGCCCACCCGTTAATGCACAAGCACCAAATTTTCGTTTTAATACTTGTTGCGCTGTTCTCCCTCGTTCTATTTCATGTTTTTTTTGACCCAAATCTATCTTTCCTTTTGCAGATGGGCCTCTTCGAATGTTTCTACTGTCCGAAATGCCAGAAGCGCTTCTCCAAGAAGCGTGGACGTCGCCCCGTCATCGACAAGCAGCGGCGAGAGATCGTTTGTCAAGAATGTGCCGGATCGCGAGCCTCGGAGCCTGTTCAACTCGTACTGGATGTCCTCGACGACTACGACAAGGCCGATTCAGCCACCACAGGACTGAAGCTGATCCCAAAATGCCCGGAATGCAAGAAGCCTGCAGATTGCGTGCAACGCCTTCCGATGATATCGAGCTGCGGACGGGATTGGCGTTGTTGCAGCTGTGCCTTTGCCGCTCGAACCGACGCTTTTTTGGGCCGGAACCGCTATGAGTTCGAGGACGAGCGCGAATACATCACCTGGGCGGGTTTCGCCTATTTTCTCGCCCTGCGCACATGGGTTGAGAAGGAGAAACGACGCATCGACCGCGAAATGAACCCTAAAAGTGAGCAGCAACATCGGAAACCGCGGCCTCACGATGACAAGCGGCAATTTGACGCGGAAACTCAGCCGGAAATCATCGAAAATTACGAGCAGCATCAAGATCATCAGCGTAAAAAGGACTTAATTTTCGCCTTCAAGTGTGGAAAATGCAACCTCCTATTCGACGATAAAGATGAAAGAAGACTACCGACCGTGGGAAACAATTCAGAGGTCAACTGCCGTAGTTGCTGCACAGACGACCGAGGGAAGCAGGAGACCGCCCAGCTGATCCTCAAGCTCCTCAAGCAGCCCGCGCTCGCCTCTTCTCGCTTGGTCAATATCCCCATCGGCGCGAAGCTGGCGCTTCCGACGTGTCCAGGATGCAAGAAACCGGCAGATTGTATGGATCGTCTTCCGATGCTATTGAGGTGCGGACATGCCTGGCTATGTTTTGATTGTCTCCCCCCAAGGAACAATCTCCTCAAATGCGCCCTGTGCCCCCCGGACACTAACTGCCCGGAAATCACCGGATATGCGGTTTGGACGCGATACCTATACTATTTGAAGGTAAATCGGGACGTGATTCGCGAAAAGTAGTCCAGAATTAGGTAGTGACGCTTTGGAAATATCGGGGGGGGGGGTGCTATCTAAAAAATGATAAATACAAAAAGGTGCGGATTCCTCGACCAAAGGCAAACATTTTCGCTTTTTTTCGGGGTTTTTGCGCTAGTTTTAGCTCTTGGAAAACAGCTAAATGGCGAAAAACTATAAAAAAAACCCGTAGCATTGCGTTACTAGGGGCTTCGGGCTTTTTGTCCCCACCCCGATAATGGAAAAGCACCAAATTTTTTTTAGTTGCAGTACATAGAAATGTTTTCGATGTTTTTTTAAGTAACTAGGCAGCTTTTGCAGCAAAAACTCTAAAAACAGGTTAGAAAAATATTTGGAAAGTCGAAATTTTGGTCATTTTCAAACCCAAATATCAGTTGTGTAGTATTAATTTATTTATAATTTTTCTTTATTTATCCTTATTGAATTTTGGGTTTTCCAGGCAGCCGTGAGCCGGGCCAGAGGCAAACGCCTTTTCAACGCCAGCGCCGAGCAGAACCCGATGGTGATCAACAACTCCACCAACGACGTCGTCGTCCAGGGATACGCCGAACCCGACGAAGCTGGGCACAGTCGGGTACGTAATTCGTATTTTTCTATGGATTTCGCTGCTTTTTTTAGCCGGCCAAAGCCCCGCGCACGACAATCACCTCCGATGGGGCGCACATCGTGGCCGCGCCCAGCGTTTTCAAGCCGCCACAGATACGTTTGGGAGCCACGACAAGTAGAAGGGCAAAGGTTTGAACTTAGTTACCTAGTTTCATGATTTTCCGTAAGAAGAAAATTTTGGCTCTAAAATTGAGGTATCTACTCAAAAAAATGTAATTTTTCAGTTGCGCGTGGCCAGCGTCGCCCCAGCCAAGACACAGTCGCTGCCAAATTTGGGAGCCAACATGCCCGGGGCGACCATCGAAAGTGGGCCCGCGTTCGCCGGCCGCTGGCCTCCATCCGAAGCGCCAAAGTTGTCCGTAAGTTTTTGCAGCGGATTCCCTCCAATTTTTTTGAATATGAATATAATAAAGTGTCTCTACAATATTTTCACTTCCTTTAGTCGTAAAAATACAAAAATCTAGATTTTTAACGCAAATTTCGCAATTTTGGAACATTTTCGAAATTTTAAATGGGTAATCCACTTGAAATGGCGCTGGATTTTATCATCACCACTAGAAAAAAGTTTGCGTAATCAGACGTTTCTTGATTTGTGGGGAAACTGCAAAAATAAACATATTCCGAGCCAAAGTTCAATTCAATTTTTTGTTCCTTTGCATTACTAGGCATTTCTGAATTGACTCAGCAGTTTTTTATTTAATGATTCATTTTTATAGGCAGATTTAATTTTAAGAGATTTTTATTTCCTAAAATTACTTTTTTTTTGAGGCGCTCCCCTCGGATATCGACGCGATCAACCGAAAACGACACAAGGAACGTCGTGATGCGACGAAGTCGCGGCCGGTCGGCAAGAAATTTGTGCGAACGGCTGGCGGACAGGTAATTCAGATTTTTTTGCCTTATTAAATATTTTTTGCAGGTAGAAGAAGATTCGGCCAACATTTTCCGTCTCTTTTGGGGTGATCTGGGCCCTGAGGTGTCGGAAACGCTGCTGGCCAAGGCCTTCCAAAAATACCCGTCCTTTGTCAAGGCCAAGGTATGTAATTTTTGAAATTGTAAATGATGGTACTTTTGCAAAATTGGGGGCTAAGTTTTCCTATAAATCAAAATACGGCTAGGAACGTGATAGTAGGTATTTTCAAGTGTTTTTGGTTAAATTTAGCTATGCTTTAAGTAAAACTGCTTTAACAAAACCAGGAAACGGTCTAAAATTTCAAAATTGGTCGAAAAAATCTTTATTTTTTTTGAGTTGTTTCTAAATATTTTTGACATTTTTCATTTTGGCATAGTGGGTGGGAGCTGTGCAAAAAGCCTTTCTCTTTTTATATTTGAAAACTATCGTTTCAAAATGGTTGATCCCCCGATAATGCCAAAGCACCAAACTTTGTATTTTCAGGTAGTCCGCGACGGCCGTTCGAACAAGAGCAAGGGCTTCGGCTTTGTGTCCTTCAAAAGTCAAGAGGTATTTTTAATCTTAAATTCATGAATAAATGTTTGTTTAGGACTTCGAGCGTGCGAAGGTTCAAATGGACGGGGGATACGTTTTCGGAAATCGCCCCATTGGGTTGCTGGCATCCAGGAAGAGAAAGCAGAAGCTCGGCCTCATGTATTGAGTATCAATTTTTACCATTTATTCCGTTTTGATACTATTCACATTGTTTTTCGTATTTATGTGTCGCCATTTTGTTATTGATTTTTGAGTCGGAATTCGTTTATAAATCGTTCTTTGGAAAGTACGGACTGGAAGAAGCATTTCTATGGATTATGCAACCAATGGATTTAAGCCTTTTTAGAAGTTTCTTCGGGTTGATTTTAATAGTTTTAATTGACTAGCTCTGTAAGCTGAAACTGATTCGTTGAGGCGGCGAAATTTGTATTTTGGAGGTAGATAAGAGCTATTTATTTTCGACAGTGAATACGAATCAACACATTGTTTGCCATGTTGGCATCCAGCATGCAGATTTTCGCGCTCTAATCCGTCGAAAGCTGTAGAAATCGCGTGCTGCTTTTCACCATTTTCCGCGTCCTTATCTTACAATTTTTGCGCTTTTCAATCACTCGAATTTCAGGTAAGCAATGCTGAGCAAACTTCCGCCACGCATGATGGAGACAATTCTCGGCCTACTCGACGTCAATGCTCACCTGGAAATGGCGCTCGTTTCTCAAAAGATGTGGAAGATTGTCGAAGAGACGCCGAAGAAGTATGGAATCGTTCGCTGCATCGGGCCCGTCAAAACGGATATGCTGTATCTCGGCTTCTTCGAGTGCCGCGAAGCCGTCGACGAAATTCTCGTCTCTTACCCGGTCAAGTATCGCCAAGAAATTCCGTCTCGTTTCGATGAGTTTGACTCCTTTGGCTACGGATGCTTGATGAAGCTTTTTCTGTCGAATGCCACCATTGAACAGGCTTGTCTATACCGGGACTTACGCATTATCGGAAGGGGGACCAAACTTTTTTTTTTATAAATCTAGAAATGCCTAGTAAATTAATAGAAAGTGCTTGAATAGTGTTTTCGTAATATAGAAACTAGAAAAACTATCTAAAAACTTTAAAAAATGTCGAAAAGGTAGAAACTTTGGTCAAAAAGCAACCTTTTTTGGCCGATAAATCGATATTTTTTGGTATTTTTCAAAGAAAAAGTTGGAGAGTTTTCACATTTAGTAGTAAAAAACCATTTAGCCAACCAACTCCACCATTTATATTTGAAAAGTTAAGTCCTAAGAAAAAAGTTGGTTCCCCCTCCCCCCGATAATGCGAAAGAACCGCTGTCCCTTTTCTGACAGGTTTCAAGCCCCGTTTTCAGCTAGAGGCCCCGTCACTCGCTTCGGCATCGAATTTTGGCTTTCGTTGAATATGAAAGTGAAGATTATTGCTCATCCGATGCTCGTTTCGCCAATTCAGCAACTCCAGCAGTTTGTCGGTACGCGCTACGGGTTTCGATCCATTTTTTTTGCAGACCACTTCAAGCTGAGGGACTTTATCTTCGACACGTTGTTCACGGATATCAAGGCCGATGCCAAGGGCTATGAAAGATTCTTCCAGAGCGACACGGTTAGTGGTAGTCACATTAGAAAGTGTTGATGCTGCTAGATAGAATTGACACTGGGCTGTTAGCGGGGGGGATAAAATGGGGTTTGTCATTTCGAAGTAATCGTGCGCGGCCCGATAACTAAATATAGACCATTTTTATAGCTTGCTACGCGGTTTTTCGATATATTTTTGTGAAATAGAAAGCCGGTAAAAATGTACAAAAATTTTCGCAGAAAAATATAGGAAAAATGATCAAAAAGGTCAGAAAGTTTTCAACATATTTTTGGAATTTTCTGGCGACTAAAAACTGCAAAAAAAACGCTATAAAGACGTTAGATAGCGTTTCACCAGCTATTTTCAATAGAAGCAACAACAATTAATTTGCCTCATCTGTTGACCCCCCGCTAACAGTCCAATACCGTAGAATCGACGGTAGCATGATGATTTTTAGGTGCGTTCGCTGGATATTCTGCAAGTGATCCCCTTCACTGGAGATCTTGGTTGCCTGATGCCGATTCGAGCCAAAGATTTGCTCATCGGCTGCTCGATCGCCAAGCGCAACGATGGCCAGCACCTCTTCGACTACTTGTACACAAGGATTCTGGTTTTTTTTTTGATCAGCTGCGTTTCGGGCAATCACAACTTTTCAGGGATGGCTGACGGGGATCGACAAAATCGACAAGATTCAAATTTATATGAGCGGGAATATCATGGATGGACGTAAGAGATAATGTTTTTATATATTTTGTTATGTTTAGTTATTGCGTATTTCATCAAGGAGTTCGTGCCACAACTCGGATGGATCGATCAGACATACAAGGGAATGGATCTCATCATCAGGGCCAGCGATGTACGCCATTTTATTCGAATATCTTTATCCTAAGATTTAGGGACAAGCGCTGCTGGCCGTTTGGGACGAGCCGGAGACCTGCCTCTACCTGATACAATGTGAATACAATTTCCGAAGGTAAGCGTTGTCTTGAATTACGGGCTCTTTAGCATTATCGTATTTCTCGTGGAATTTCACTAAATTTCAACTAAGAAAAGATCTAAATGGCGACATTTTTCGAAAAATCTATATTTTTTTGTAGTTTTTGATAAATATGTGTTAAGTTTTTAAGGTTGAGAATAGTAAAAAATAGTTAGGAAACCCTTCCGGTATTTAGATTTGAAAAATTGGATCCTGAAAATAGTTGCCCCCCGAAATGCCAAAGAACCAAAAAGAAAAATAAGACAGATCTCATATTTAGGGGTCGCTGTCTCGGAAGTTACGAACGAAACGAAAAGTCGATCCGCCGCATTTGCGATTTGATGGTATCGTTTTGCGTCCAGGGGCTCTATTGACTGTTTTAGCGTATCGTCTCGGATCTCGCCGCCTCGCGCCCCGAATTGGCCGGCGATGCGAAGGAGAAGCTGAGGGAGGAGTGCAGCAAGTTCAACGAGTACAACAAGCGCGCCACAAAAATGGATTTGCTGACGGATTCGCCTTGAAAACCATGGAATTCTTATATATTTTTTCTAGATCTGGCGCCCGAAAGGCCAGCGCCAATCGCTGTGGGGTCTGAAGGCAACACGCGATCCCGGCTATACGATTTATCCGGTGAGTGAAATCCGGTTTTTTGCCATTCTCAAATGCAAGAACTAACATTTTTATGGTTCAGGACTGTTAGCGGGGGGGTAGGGGCAAATTTTTTTCCTGTGATTCTCTACGGCCCCATAACAACCCCATAACTTTTATGGAATGTTAAATAGTTTTTAGCTATAAAAACAATCTAAAACTATTAAAAATTCCGAAAATATTTGGTTTTTTGACCAAAAATAGCCGATTTTCGGCCTAATTTCCAAAGTTTTTAGATCGTTCAACCACTTGAACTATGGTACTGCTAGACATTTCTGGACTCTTTGCAAAAAATTAGGCCCCCGATAAGGAGAAAAATCTGTTGTAAAGTTTAAACTAAATTAACAGATTGTTTTCAGAGTCATCTCTCCCTGCTCCACGCCTACAGATTCACGAAGGCCTTCGAAAAGACGGGTGTGCTGCCGGATGTCGAGGAATTCAAGCCGTTCCCGGACGTTCGCCTCAAATCCCCGTACCTTCCCCCGCCCCCGGAATGAATAAGCGTATTTAATTGTTAAAAATGGATTTTTCGATGTTATTTTTGATCCTTAAAAATTTGGTGTTGATAATAAATCTTTACTGTTAGCTTGAGGCTTTGTGAAAAACATCAATTGTTGTTTGTATACACGGAATTCCTTTATAAATCGTTCATTGGAAAGTACGGTCGAGGAAAAATAACTATTCGATTACGCAGGTCAATTTTTAAAGGGTTGCGGACGGCATAGTCAATCGGTTACGCGCGGAAAAGAAAATGTCTCTGCGCCCGACCCCTGGGCGCGCTCTCTCCCCTGTTGGCTACTTGCCAATTTGTTGATGAGGGGGGATCGACACATGCCGTCGGCAGCCCTTTAAAGGGCTTTTGACGGCTGATTTTACCATTTTTATCTGGCTGAATCGATTAAAAGTATCATTTCTATTCGATTACGCAATGAAATTCCGAGCCGAGAACGATCTTATCAAAAAGTTTAGTTTATTTTCGATACTTAATAATAACCACTGCACTGCTTTCCATTCTGCCCGCCAGCATACAGATTTCTGAGCTCAAAATCGCCGAGTTGGAACGTTTTCTCGGGGATTGGCAGCGGGGTTATGAAGTGGGAGGGGATGCCGATGGTCGCTGTGCGGGTGCAACGCTGAGATTACATGATTATTATAGTTTATAGTGTTTAAAAGCATTAGGAATTGTATCAAAATTACCCTCTTTTCTTCGACATTATCAATTTCGCATTGATGATAGATGTCGAGATACGGGTCGATCCAACTGATCTCCTCATCGATGCCTTCTACTGCAAAAATTCGGGTTTTAGTTTCTACTTTATTTTAAAGCTTACTAACTTTCTTCATTTTCTTACAAAAAAATAAAACTGACTTGATTATATCTTTTTTGATAGGAAATTGTGTTTTAAAAGACAGATTTTTCAATTTCTGCGGTTTTTCTAGCGTCTGAAGGCATTTTTTTTAATCCAATCCCGTTTTCTATCGACTTTAAAAGCTATTTTGCATGCGAAATAATGAGAATTGGGACTTTCTAATGAAAACAATTAAAATAGCCTTAGATTCATCATTTTTATAGGAAAGTATGTTTTAGAGGACAGAAACAACTCTTTTTTGATTTGTTGCTTTTTTCAAGAGGTTTAGAGACATTTTTTAATAAAGTACGTACGTACGACTTGTAAAGCTATTTTTTTGTATAAAATAATGCGAAAGTACTATTAGTTTCTTATCAAATTTCAGCTGATTTTTAAGCTTCAAAAAGCCAATTTTCGTCCCGTTAGCCCGTCCTCACCTTCAAAAACGCCCTCATGATTCGTCCTCCCCAGCTGCATCGTGTCCTTGCCAACTAGAAAAATATAATAGATTTTTCTAGAAGTTTTAAACCCACAAAAATCGTCGTCATACAGCCGGACCGAGACGTTTTTCGCAGGCAAACCGGCGCAAAGCAACCGCCCTGTCGCTCTGAAAAATTCCTGTATGTTTTTTTTGGGAATTCTTAACCTCAAAAGGTAGTTTATAGCTTGTATTTTACCTCGAAAATTGCCAAAAAACTCACCTAACCGATTGGACGGAGCGGAAATCGAACCAGGCAGTGGCGAAAGGAAATAGGAGGAAAATTAGCAGCATTTCTCGTCATCAGCAGTAAAAAATGAGCCGTTTTTGTGGTATGTAGTTTTGTGGATTGATTCCTGATAGCTTTAACGATTTAAATACAGTAAGAATCGGATTACAGGGTGGTCCAAAAAAAAAAGTGAAGTTTGCACTGAAATATCTCGCGAACGAAAACGAATCGGACCATCGTTACCTTGCCAGAATGCTTAAATATGCTGGGCATGAAGAAATAACACAAGTTATTTTTTAAGATTTTTGACGACCAGTCGTTAAAAAGTTTTGAACATTTTTAAAAAAGTAAAAAACTTTGAAGCGATTAAGTATGGAACTTTTTATGAGGTAGAGAGATTCCAAGGGTATCAAAATGAAGCTCTTGGAATGCGCTATCAAACGCGTGGTAAAGAATTTCGATCGGTTTAACTAGCCGTCAATAGGAGCGTTCGGAAAATCCGTACTTTTCCGGAATGGGCGCCTCCGAATTGACCATAAAAAGCACCTTGCTGCCAAAATTTTTTGTACGTATTACATGCAATCCTGTTTGCCAAAGATAACCATGCTACAATTTCAACTAAAGGAGCCTAGAACTTACAAATTCGGTCGAATTGGCAAAGTGCCAAAAATTTTTTTGATCTCGATTTGAAAATTTTTGATGCCAAAAGTTAGTAGTTATACAGGGTGTCCCAAAAAAAACGAACCATCTGGCATTTCGCCGTGTTACCTCCAATCAGCCCAAAATTTGGACCAGAGGTGTATCAGACTCTAAATAACAACAATTCTGACTTATAGCCCTGTAGCTACAGTCGTTCTCGAGTTATAACGAAAATACTGTTTTTCCCGCGATTCTGAACCGTTTTTTCGGCTATCTTTTTGGACTTTGCATCGATTTGCATCGACTTCCGGCTGCGAATCCCTTAATTCCGCTTAAGAACTTGGGTAATTTTGCGTTGTAAAAATCGCTTAAATCAAAGCCGATTTAATTAATTTTACTCTGGAAAAATTTTTTTAGGGTAAAGCATGCCTACCGGATCATTTTCACTTAATGTTTAGGGGGTCTAATTTCACGAAAACACTATGAAAAATCGAAAATAAAGTTTGTTTCTGCTATAACTCGAGAACGACTGTAGCTACAGGGCTATAAGTCAGGATTGTTGTTATTTAGGGTCTGATAGACCTCTGGTCGAAATTTGGGGTCGATTGGATGTAACATGGCGAAATGCCAGATGGGTCGTTTTTTTTGGGACACCCTGTATATCTATTGCTAACCGCAAAATATCAAAAAGATCGGATGGTAAGGAAATTTTATCTGGAATTATTTCCCCAAAAAGTACGGATTTTCCGAACGCTCCTATTGACGGCTAGTTAAACCGATCGAAATTCTTTACCACGCGTTTGATAGCGCATTCCAAGAGCTTCATTTTGATACCCTTGGAATCTCTCTACCTCATAAAAAGTTCCATACTTAATCGCTTCAAAGTTTTTTACTTTTTTAAAAATGTTCAAAACTTTTTAACGACTGGTCGTCAAAAATCTTAAAAAATAACTTGTGTTATTTCTTCATGCCTAGCATATTTAAGCATTCTGGCAAGGTAACGATGGTCCGATTCGTTTTCGTTCGCGGGATATTTCAGTGCAAACTTCACTTTTTTTTTTGGACCACCCTGTATATCGTGTTTTAATAGATCCAGCAAAAAAAATTAGAGTTTTTGAAAATTAAGGTATTTAGGTATTTTATGTAATTTTTAGTCAAATATAGTTGTAATTTGTAGTTTCCGAAGTGTTTTTGTGCCAAAATAAACGGAAATCCAGGAATTTCGGAACGTTTTGCCCTATTGACGAAATCGGAGGGTATCGGCCTCGGGGGGAAACCAAAGCGAAAAGCGGAAGGGGGGAAATGGCCTTGGCTATACAGGGGACCATTCCCCTCGAAAAAGGGTTCTACCAACCTGCGATCGGCCCGGTTTTTTCGATTGTCTGTTCGGCAGTTTGTCTGTCTCGCGCTCTCTCTCTCGCCCTCTCTCTCGCCCTGAGTCATGGCCCAAAAAACCCTGCAAGCCTTTCGCATTGGTCAAAAACGAGATCAGGTCTAAAAGATTACGCCCGGAAATTCCGTTCTAACTATCAAGGCTTTCTTTTTCCTAAGCCAAAAACCAGCTTACTGTAAAGTGTTTTTACTCAACTTGGAGTTTCGATTCGGGACCAAGTGCATCTTGTACAGAATTTTTCGCTGATTCCGAATATGTTTTCCAAATTTGCTACGGACCGTAATTCTGAAAGTTATACGGCAATTATGACCCTAGTTTTCACTAAAATGAAGGTATCGTTATAGTTTTCGATTTTCTTCATTAACTACAACGTCAAAATTGACTAGGCGTTAGCTCAACAAGCATCCTACAGCTCAAAACAAGAATTTTAGATAAAAAATGAGATTTTTATGCAAAAAGCAAAAGAAATGATGCGGGGCGGGGGTTCGAACCGCCGCGCTGCGCTTGGCAAGCGAGTACTTTGCCAATGCACCATGGTGCCAACTGGGTAGGGTGCTGTCAGAGGGTACTTCAGGGCCCCTGGGAACCAGAGCCCCAAACAAGGAATAGTGGGCCAGCGTCTGAATTTTTGGCATTTTTCGACCTAACTGTTACCAAAAATGATTTTTTAAATAAAAGTCCGTAGCAAATTTGGAAAACATATTCGGAATCAGCGAAAAATTCTGCACACGATGCGCTTGGTCCCGAATCGAAACTCCAAGTTGAGTAAAAACACTTTACAGTTAGATGATCGAAAGCGTACCTAACGTTATTAGTAGCCTTTTTTAACCTGTTTTTTTTGTTCAGTTTTTTCTCATTGCCCTAGAATAAATTTATCTCCATAAAGTTTGCATTCATCAAAAAAAAAAACATAACAAGCACCATATGGAAAACATAGCAACGTGGAAATTTAAGAAATCAATTTATCGGTGGGAATGACGGCAGTCGGCCCGTCATCTCGAGCGCCTTCGCGTAGTCGTACGCGCGCCAGTGGATCGGGTTCAACTGAAACATTTAGAGCGTCAAAAGTCGACATAAAACTCGTGGTTCTGTCGCTTTATCGGGGGTAAGAATTCCTAGCAATTTAGCAGTAAGTAGTTCAATAGAGTTTTAGATATTAGACATGTAATTAAACTGAAAATTTATTTAGTATTTAATTAATCTGAAATAGAAACACAGTCGAAAAACTTTAATAGAGTTGAATCGGAAAAATTTTTGTTGAAATTATAGCAAAAATCGGGCATTTTTGGTCGAAAAATTGAGGTTTTGTGTTTTCAGCAAAAAATTGTACTTTTAGACGTTGTAAAACCCGCTGAAAAGCGGCTTAGAAGGTTTCAGCCAACCCCCCGATAATGCAAAAGAACCCGGTAATTCATTCATTTACCGACGAAAACTAACCGGATAGGTGGCCGACTGCTCGATACGACCGTCAACTGTTGCCCACGGGGAGCGCCGCTGGGATTTTGGGCGCCAGATCTGCAAAAAATCGGTTTAAATGACCTTCAAAATTCCGTTTTCTCGTACCGCGTCCGTCAACAGATCCATCTGCGTGGCGCCCTTGTTGTACGCGTTGAACTTGACGCACTCCTTCTCGACACATTTCAGCGTCTCCGCTGCAAGCTCCAAAATGTACCGAGATCGAAACTCGGCCAGGACCTGCAAAGGAACGTTAAAATAATGATCAATCAAAATTGTAATTGTTTTGGAAAACGGTAAAAATGATGGTAAATCTTCTAAAGTCAAACTTTGTAAACTTCTAATTTACAATTTTTCAAACTTTATTTGTCGAAAAATGCTGAAAACACGATGAAGAAAATACACTAATGTTTTACTCGACTATTACTAGACGTTTCAAATTATCTAAAAAAATTATTTTGGTCCTAAATCTGTTTAAAAAGCGGCTGTCTAGCTCTCTGATTTATTTTTAAGAAAAATAAAAATTCATAAAAATACATGCAAAGTCGCTATAATTAGAGTAAAACCGACGATCAGTCCACAAATCCTAGCGAGAGCCGCCTCGTTTCGTTCGTAACTTCCGAGACAGCGACTCCTATAAAAATTTGGTTCTGGACGGTTAGCGGGCGGACCAAATCTTTCCCTGTGATTCTCTACGGCCCTAGAACAAAAATAAACCATTTTTATAGCATTTTACACAGTTTTTAGACATAAAAACAATAAAAAAAATCATAAAAATTTTGACTTTTTGGTGAAAAATTTACAAAAATGACCAAAAAGGTCAAAATTATAGATTTTTAAAAATTCTTATTTAAAAAACACTTTTATAACTTTCTGGCAATTCAAAAATCACTAAAAACATAATATATATTATCAACAGGTCCTTTCTGCTAAATATCCCCTGCGCTAGTAGTCCAGAACCGAAAATTTGCTAAAAATGCAATCATTTACCGTCGAAAATTATAGTTGCAGGGAAGGAGGTAGAAACAGGCATTCTCTTCATCCCAATAGACCAGCAAGGCTTGTCCCTAAAAATAGTGCATAATATTCTCTTGTACAAGCCCACATCGCTGGCTCTGAGAATGAGCTCCATTCCCTCGTATTTCCGATCGATCCATCCCATTTCAGAGCGCATCATCCGGCCCAGCTTATCGACCACTAAAAATTGCTCATGAAAATGCATATGAGACTAACGTGCCAAAAGACGAGCACCCAGCTGTCTGTAAAAACCGGATTCGATCTGGATTTTCCCGTATTCTTCCGTGCCGTGCAGCCAACGCTGCAAAAAATGTATAAAATTTGTTTTTAGAAGAAAATCGTTGGAAGTGTTTCTAAACGGTCTTTGACTATCCCTAAACGTAAAAGCGTGACAAATTTTTATTTAAAAATGCAAAAATATCGATTTTTCCACCAAAATTTAGACTTTTTGGCAAGATTTTCTAGTTTTATTTTACTGAAAACTTGATGAAAATCCTGCTATTAAGCCACCAGGCATTTCTAGACTAATACAAAAAATACACCTCCCCCACCGATAATGCGAAAGAACCTAGCTTGAATTTACTAACCACTAGAGAGGAAAAGGGTGGTCCCCCGGATTTATATAGTCTCATTTTGGTATAACAAGGGCGAAACGGTACCTGGATGAGTGCAGTAACAAAGACCTCGACATGGACCAGTTCAGCGGGATCACCGTCGTCGCCTTTGATAACGAGCAGCAAGTCTTTGGGCCGAAGCGCGTGTATCCAGAAGAGATTTGTCGTCTCGAGCACCAGGTGAAGCGTCTTCGCCGCACGCAACTAAATCAAAAAAGATGCTTAGCGAGGGGGATAACAACTTTTTTCAACAATCCAAATCTCCTAGAGTAATTGAAGTAGTGGTTCCAAATAGTATTTTTCTATTAGTAAACGTGAAACGTTTCTAAATGTCAGTGAAAAAACATACAAAGATATCGATTTTCCGACCGAGAAAACGCTGCTGGTTGACCTGCTATTTTTTTTCTCTATTCTAGTTTTATTTTTTTCTAAGTGTTTAGATAACTTTTCCACTTGAAGAGCAATTTAATTACTCAAAAAATAAAAACTACGGGGGCACGCGGCACTTTTAAGTAATAGATTTAGAGGAAACCCACAGCAGGACTCTGCAAAAAGACTGCACTTTCCTCGTGGCTCGTCGAATGATCGTTGAGACAAGTGTGGTAGTAGAACTCGGCGGGCTTCACGTGCTCTGCAAAAAAGCTATAATTAATACGACGATGTAACGCGTGCGTTTCTTAGGTTTATCCTGGCTTTAACAACAAGGGCTCTGCAAAAACCCCCGCATAAACGCACCGATAAATTGCTGCAGTTGGGCAGTGGAAGCCGCGCCTTTTGGATTGATCATTCGCGTCACTTTCATATTCAACGACGTCCAGAACGTATTTCCGAGGGCGAGCGGCAAGCCACGAGCCTGAAATTCGAGTAAATTTTGTGGAGCTAGGAAAGCTCGTAACAAATTTCGAAGAGTTGACGAGTTCTTTCGCAATACCCAAGCTTCCTACAAGCCTAGCAACCTCCTAGCAAGTATTTTGCAAAATTGAACCATATTTCGAGTCAAAAACCATCCGAAAAGACTTAGAAAAGTGTAAATATGCAAGCTTGGTCGAAATTAGGCCATTTATTTCGAAAAATCAACTTTTTGAAGTTTTTAAACATAACGATCTCATTTTTACGTTTTGAACCGCTTTTTATAGCGCTGTCAGAAAAACTGGATCCTAGGTGGAAAGTTGAAAAAAGCGAATTGGGGATTTTATAACGAACCTCATCAACGATGGAATTTGACAGGTAGAGTTTGAATGCGGGCGCGTGAATCCACACGAGGAGATCAGAACAATCCGGCGGGAGTGTGACTGTCCGGGGCGGAAGGCGCTCGTGCTCTCCCTCAATAATCTCCTCAACTTCCTCGCGGTCCGTGGACGACATTTCGAGCTGGGTTTCCATGCGATTCGTCACCATCCAAAGCGTCATCCGCTCCCCAGACTCATCGTACACCAAATATATGCGGCGATAAGTTTTCGGCGTCTCTTCAACGACTTTCTGCATCCTCGGCGAAACAAGGGACATCTCGATGTAATCCATCGGATCGACCAATCCGAGAATTTTCTCCATCACACGTGGAGGAAGTTTGTTCAGCATCGTTTCGCTGAAAAAAATGGGATTAAATGCGAATTACGACGCCAAAAAAGGTATATGAAAATGTGGTTCAACGAGAATTCGGACGGGGCGGGAATTACGCAAAAGTGGCACTTGCGTTTCACCGGAAAGGCTAAACAACCCGAAGACTGGATATGCAGCCGTTTTATCTTCTTCATTCGATCGATAAATTCCAACTAACTCGACTATAATATTTCATATTCCATCGAAAACCCGAGAAATGGCAAAAAATCCTATCCTATAAGCTAAAAAAGTATGTCTGTTTTCTGTAATGACGATTTCTCGGCCGTCAGCCCGAATTTCGAGCTGATTTTTGGCATGGAGGTGGAGAAACACATTTGCCAGGCACACCTTTGTTTTGTTTTTCAAAATTCCTTTATTTAACGTTGGTTCCTTGACCCAGGGCCTTGCGCCGTAGGTTGTTGTTTCGTTTTCGCGGCAGGAAGACGAAAAGTTAAAAACATGGTCAAAATGGCTATTTTGGAACGTTATCGCGTTTGCCTAGAAAAAATGAAAACAAAAAACCCCGGCGGGGAAGTAAGTTGTGATCTACGAGCGACAAACTGTAAAAAAAACTGCTAGAAAAACTATGAAAACCTTTTATTATCGTCAATTTTGATCGTTTTCCATCGGACGTCCAAAAAGTCCGCCGGACTTTTCAGGCCGAAAGCCAACACTAGCCGTAGGCCAAACGGGAGAAAAATCATAGCTAGCGCCGCGGGCTCAAAGATTAATCTTGCGTTAGGATCGATTCTAGGGCAACGCTAGCGTAGGCAATGGCTCATTGACTCACATTCTTGCGCCGCAAGTTTAAAAGAGAAGTTATTGAAATCGATGGTTTTTAAACGGGGTCCATGGAAAAGGGCCGCGAAGCCGTCTTTTTCACTGGTATAGCCAAAACAGAAAATTACTTTCTAGTTGAAAATTTTGAAAAATCGAAAATTTTCGGATTTTTGCTCGCGAACGAACCAAACTGGATAAAATGTCTTTCTTTCGCTTTTCTTTCAGTTTTATTTTCACTACGCCTTGCTTTCCTTTGCTTTATTTCCACTTTAGCGAAACGATGCTGAACAAACTTCCCCCACGCGTGATGGAGACAATTCTCGATCGACTGAACCCACAGGATCGGCTACAATTGGCCGGTGTCTCTCCCCGAATGTGGAAAATTGTCGAGGAGACGCCGAAGAAGTACGACATCGCACTCATCTTCGAGCCGCCCTCTGAATGGGGCATCAGATTGCACGTTGATGGACCGATCGACTGGGTTTGCAAGATTGTGCCCACCGCCGCTCAACTGCCACGGTTCGTTTTTGAGTATTAGCTGATCGGGGACCGACTTTTTGCTTTGTATAATGAATCTAGTTGTTCTAAGATGGATAGAGGAAATGTTTCTAAATCGTTTGCTATTTCCAAACCAAAAATGTTAAAATTTATACTGCAAAATACAAAAAACCACGACTCTTACAAAAATTGCAAAAATTTCGAAGTTTTTCGCTTGAAAACGGTGAATTTGTATAAAAGACAAAAAAAAAAAAAAAAAAAAAAATAAAAAAAAAAAAAAACCAATTTTTTTTTTTAAAAATTAAAAATTAAAATAATTAAAAAAAAAAAAAATTTTTAAACACCCCCCAAAAAAAAAATTTTCCCCCCTAAAATTTTCCCCCCTTAAAACAAAACATTACTAAATAATTATAACGTCACTAGGTGTTTTTGGACTTCTAGGAAAAATTGTCCCCCCCCCCGATAATGCGAAAGATCCGTACAGGGAATTTACCTATTCTTTTAGCTGGGCCCTCCTGAAGGCTGATCCTACGACAGCACCTCCAGGAGCTTCTCAAGACAAGAGGGAGTATACGGCCCGCGCGAGGTATCTCCGTCTCTTCCTCACCAATTCCTCCATCAAATCGGTATGTTTATCGGTACTGGACTGTTAGCGGGGGGAGGGGCGATGTTTCCCGGAATCTCGTACGACCCTATCGACAAATAACCATTTTTATGGCATTTTAAAAAGGTTTTAGAAACAGAAAGCTCAGAAAAATTATAAAATTTTGCGAAGATTTTTGGTTTTCGGTCGAAATGTCTGAAACATGGTCAAAAAGGTACTTTTTTGAAATTTGAAATTTTGAAATGTTATTCTAACTTTCTAGCAACCAAAAACTACTAAAAACACTAGAAAATACGCTATTTATTTGTAACAGGTCCTGTCACCCAATTCCCGTCCCCGCTGAGGGTCCAGTACCAGTTTCGTTGTTTTTTTTCCGTAATAATGGTCATTTTCGTTTAGTTGACGAGCCTGATGTGCTGTTACGGGAACAAATTCTGGTATTCGCTGAACATGAAGGTGGAAGAGCTGTGCAATCCGCTGGATGCGCCCTCGTTCTTTGAGTTGCAGGGAATTATCGGTAGGCAGCAATATCTTGGCGAACAAATCTCTTGCAGACCACCTCAAGCCCTCCCGTTTCGTCCAACACCGATTCTTGCTGATCGAGCATGGCCAGAATGAAGCGCGCGACAGGTTCTTGCAAAGCCCCACGGTCGGTTTACATTTTAAAGCCCTTGCGATTTATCTGGGTGGGGGGGGGTAATTTTTATTTTTTCGCCTTTTGACAATAAAAGTTTATCTTTACGATGTTTTTGGTAGTTTTTGATGGCTGGAAAGTTCTCACAATCATTCAAAATCAATAGACACCACAAATTTTTAGCTTTTTAGTTTTAGTTTTAGACCAAAAGTTCAAGAAATTTCGTGAATTTTAGATTTTTTGGAGCCGTTCAGATCTAAAGACTGGGTGAAGGATAGAAAAATGAGTGCTATGATGTTATAGGGCGAGCTACTCGAAAACCGCGATTTTTCGCCCAAACTTTCAACGTTAGAAAATTCTCTAGAGTTTTTGAATAGTTTTTGCCATTGAAATATAGCGAAATTTGCTAAAAATACTGTGGAAGCCATTTAGGGTTGCTATGCGAGGCATTTCTGGGCTATTATAAAAAATTGCCCCCCGATGATGCAAAAGTACCATTGTTGAGTATCTAAGCTGTGTTTTTCAGGTGCGCTCGCTGGAGATGTTGCACGTCTCCTTTTACTTCATCGGCGAGATCCGCTGTCTGTCCCATATCCGCGCCAAAGATTTGCTGATCGCCATGAACAAGGCACGGGATATCGGCGACTGGCCAATCGTGCTCCATTTTGTGTCGGGTCGCGTTTGGGTGGGTGCTTTCGCCTCATCGGGGGTGGAACCAGCTTTTTTTCAAGGGTCCAAATTTTCTAAAATTGAGACAGCGTTTATAAGCTGTTTTTATTAGGCCTACGCGTAAAAAATTTACAAACTTTCATTAAAGAAAATCAAAAAATATGGATTTTTCGGTCAAAATTTCAACAAAAACTTATTATAAGTTTTTGGCTTGTTTTTCCGGTTGGACTCTTGTTAAGTTTTCGTAAAAACTGTGTGAAAATACTTTATATAATGCTACTAGGCATTTTTGGGCTTGCAGCAAAAAAAGTTGGTCGCCCCGATAACGGAAAATTATGAACGAAATCCGCTTTAATCGTCGCATTATAGCGTTGGCTGGATGGGACGGATGAAATCGACAAATTCGCTCTGATCATCACGGAGTGCGGCCACATTCACCAGCTGCTGACATACTGTAACGGAGAGCGTTTCTTTTGATGACGGTTTTTAGACCTGGACAATCTGTCTCCTGCAATTGGATGGGTCGATCGGACATACCCCGGCATGTATCTCATCGGAAGGGCCAGCGATGTATGTCATCTTTTTCGGGTTCTTGCTCATTATCGGGGGGCGGCCAGCTTTTTCTCTTGCTATCCAATTTTTCAAATAACAATTTACTAAATTTCAAACATCGGAAATTTTTGGAAACTGTTTAATACGGTGCCTAAACCTTCAAAACCTACAAATTTTGATTTAAAAGCACCAAAAATACCGATTTTCGACAAAAAATGGTTGATTTTTGGCCAAGGTGTCCTTTAAAGTTTTTAAAAGTTTTGCTAGCTTAAATATGGCTATTTTTTACTCAGAAATTAATAACTTAGTTATTCTTAAATTACGAGTTAGTTACTGATTTTAGGGCCAAGCCTTGCTCGCCTATTTCCACAGTTTCGCAGGATATTTCTTGCTACTCCGCTGCGACTACAATTTCAGGCGGTAATTTGGCTTTGATCGTAAAAATAATGTTTTTATTCAGCGGCCGTTGCCTCGGAAGTTATCAACAAAACGGACGGACCCTCCGCAACATTGCCGAGCTGATGGTACGTGTTAAAAATCGGGAATCGTCTCACTTTATCCTGCAAAATTTTTAATGGCTCACCTTTCAGGAAAAATGGGACCAACAGATGAAGCGGAACCCGAAACGAGTTCGCGAGGTCAAGGCAAAGCTGAAAAAGGAGTGCGCCAAGTTCAACGAGTACAACAAGGGCGCCACCACGATCGACTTGATGACGGATTCGGTGAGAATGCTGTTCGGAAATCTCAAATTCTTCCGCTTTTCAGCTATGGCGTACGAAAGATGAGCGAGGAGTGTCTTGGGGACCCCAGACTCTCCACCTTCTGCGTTGCCCGCTTTACCCGGTATGTTTTTTTGGGAATTATTCGGTACTGAACTGTTGGCGGGGTGGTTATATGGCCTTTTGGGTCATTTTCAAGTATTTCCGACCATCAATAAAAAAAAATTCTAAAAGTTTTAAAAGTTTTTATGAGCTTTTTCGATCTGAAAATTGTGTAAAATACTATAAACTTATTTATATTATGTTATAGGGCCGTACAGGTTTACTGGGGAAAGTTACTTCCCCCCTGCTAATAGTTCAGTACCAATTTCTGGCTTTAGGGATCTTATAAATTCATTGTTTTTAGTTGGACGCATCCGTTCGGCACGCCTACCAACTGACGAAAGCTTACGAAGCGAGGGGTGTTCTGCCAGAGGTCGACGAATTCAGGCCGGCCAGCGACGAGTACATCAAGTTTTGGAATGGCCACTTTAATAAATACATCACCGATTATGGTTCGTAATTACTTTTTGAACGCTGGATTTGTTATTTTTTGAATGTTTATGCCCATTACTATTAGCCGCATTGCCGATTTATTTTCCCAGCCTCTTCCCATTCAATCATTTTCGGCTTTTTCTCACGTTGTTATACGGCTGATTTAGTTAATAAATTGTTAGTGATGAAAAGGTTGGGCGATGAAAAACAAATTGCAAAGACTTTCCGGGTCTACGACCGAATTCTACCTACCTCATTTCCAGGTGCTTTTGCAGTATCGGGGGGGGGGGGGATTTTTTGTAGCTAGCTAGTGCGTAGGAATTTAATAGGAATTATTTTATTACTGCTGTTTTTAGTAGCAGATAGCTATATTCGAACCGGAAAAAATATCGAAAATTCTGTTGAAAAGTCGAAATTTTGGGGAAAAATTGGCCGTTTTTGTTCGAAAACTCTATTTTTTGTAATTTCTAATATGGATTTGAAAATTTTGAATAAGGGGTCGGCTAAAAGGTTTAGAAAGACTTCCTCTATTTATATTAGAAAAATTGAGTGCGTAGAAAAAGTTTCCGCCAATAATGCGAAAGAACCTGCTTTTTCAAAAAACCTGTTCTAGCATTTCAAAATGTTATGATCCGCGGTTTCCAGCGAAACGATGCTGAACAAGCTGCCGGAGAAGGTGATGGAGGGTATTCTGGCTTTACTCGCGCCGAATGAATGCCTATCGTTGGCGCTCGTTTCCCCTCGGATGTGGAAAATTGTCGAAGAGAACCCGAAGAAGTATGGAACTGTACTCGTTCGCGAAGCCCCGAATCAGCCGTGGGGCTTCTGGGTCGCCCCGGATCCGACGGCCTTGGAAGGCCGGGAGATGGCGGTTATGGAGTCGAGCCTGCCACCGTTTGTTGAATTTGGATTAGCAAAAGTAGTGTTTGCCCTAGGTTTCGGGATGGAATTGATGATTTTCTGATGCAAGTGCTGAATCGATCTAGGCCGCTGATCGCCGGCTGTGACAACAAGCAATATTGCTTCTACCGCTCAATTTGTCTCCGACTCTTCCTTACTAATTCCACTGTTTTTGAGGTTCGTTGCTTGGCAGGCGAGTTTTACTTAACAAATTTTAGCTCCGCGGTGTACGTCTCTCCTATGGACTCGAGTTTTGGGCGTCGTTGAATATGAAAGTGACGCGAATCTCCTATCCGGACGGGGTCCGTACGATTCCGCAGCTCCAGCAATTTATTGGTATCGAGTGTGTTAGCGCCGATTTTTCTGTTCAGATCACTTCAAACCTACGCAGTTCATCATGTTTCCAAAGTCGGAGGATACTCCACTTTGCCAGCGGAACCCCACCCAGTTCATCCAGTTCTTGCGCAGCCCAGTGGTTGGCTTTTTCGAAATATTGCAGTTTGGACGGCGACCATGGAAATATTTGGTCTTAACTCGGTAATTTAGGTGTGTTCGATGGAGAAGCTGCACATCGGAGTCTTCTCTGACTTTCTCGACGATATGCACGACATCAAGGCCAAGGATTTGTTCATCGATTGGAACATCTTGTATGGTAAAAGGGATCCGGGACCCAAGATTGGATACTTGACGCAAAAGATCATGGTAACGAGCTTTTAAGGTTTTTCCAGAATTGATAATTTCCAGGCTTGGCTTACGGGGAACCTTGAAATTGACAAATTGCAAATCTGGTCGAATCTGAAACGTGAGCGCAAGCTCGTCGACATTGGTAAGAAATGGGTATATTTTTTTATCGAACCTTTTCAGTTCTCGACAGCATTGACCGCTTCCTCCTTCGTGAAATTGGAAAAATCGTTAGGAAAGACGAGAACATGCAGCTGATCGTCAGGGCCAGTGATGTGAGTCTCTAATACGGATGGTTCTTTAGGATTCGCGGGGGGAGGGGGGAAGATTCTCCGGGGAAACCAACTTTTCTTCGGCGCAAACCTATATTTTTTTTAATAAATCGCGGAGGCGTTTGCATGATGGTTTTAACTATTCTTGAGCATAAAAACGTTACAAATTTTATTAAAAAATTAATTTTAGTTAAAAAAATTGACTTTTCGACCTAAAATGACCAAACTTCCGACTTTTTCAAACAATTCCTAACTGGTTTTAAAGTTTATCCACTCCATTTGCAGCTAACACCTACTAAAAACAATGTAAAAACACTTAATATTCGATTACTGCGCCAACATGCACGGCCAGGAAAAAGTTGGTCCCTCTCCCCGCAAATGCTAAAGAACCATACATACATATTCTTGTCAAATGTTAGGGACAAGCCTTGATCGCCTACCTCGATAGCAAGGAGAATTGTTACAATTGTTTCTACCTGATCCGATGCGATTACAAATTCCGATGGTAAGCTTGCAAATTATTGAGCATTTGAACTGAGCATTATATTAGGGCTCGCCCGGCTGACAGCTACGAACGAAATGCCGATTCCCTTCGCCGCATCCGCAAATTCATGGTAACCGTTTTTTTTTGATTATTTGATAAACTTGCCTGTCTTTTTTGCGGTTTTTTTCAATACCGCTTTCCAGCGTCTCGCTTCGCGACTGTCGGAGCAAAATCCGGAACTGTCGGGCGATGTGATGGCCAAGCTGACGGGCGAGTGCATCAAGTTCAACGCGTACAACAAGGGTGCCACGAAAATGGACTTGATGACGGATGCGGTAGGAGAGAGGCTTCAATTCGAAAAATATCCTTTTGCAGCTTTGGCGCCCAAAAAACGTGCGTTGCTCGCCGTGGAGATGGTGCGAAGATGGGGGCATGCTGCATGATCCCTGGTACCCGGTGGGTATAGGAATCGATTCGGAGGGGAAAATTATTCAGAAATATTTCTTGTAGTTTTTCTGGGTCCTTGTCTTTTAAAGGGGGGGGGGGATTAGCAGTGGAGACAATTTTTTTTCTCCAGTAATTCCGTACCGCCCTATAGCGCATGCATTGTGACCAGTTTTTAGATATAAAAACTGATAGAAAAATTGTCAAAAGCCAAACTTTTTTGGCTTTTTGGAAATGACCAAAATGACCAAAAAATCTAGATTTCGAATTTTAACACTTATAATTACATACCCATCGAAAACGTCAAAAATTAGTTAAAGATGCGCTATATTATTAACCGATAGGTATGGGTGGAAAAAGAAAATTACCCCCCCCGTTAGCAGAGAAGCAATGTTTCTCCACGATAGCATTTCTTTAGATCGACATCTCTGCTCGGCACGCCTACGACTTTACGAAGGCTTTTGAAGAGCGGGGTGTACTGCCAGAGATCGACGAATTCAAGCCGGCTTCCGAGGAAGAAATCGACGCCCACAACCCTCACTATCAAGAATTTGTTCTTTAGGCGTAGCCAATTGCACTTTCTTTTGCTTTTGAACTGCTCCCATTTGTTATGCATTTATTTATTATTTGTTACTGGCTTTTCAGCTTTCCCCCACGTTGTTATGCGACATATTTCGGGTCGATAAATTTGTTATGAAAATGCGGATTTTATCTTGAACGCTTTGCCACGCAGAAGACAGATACCTAACCGCAAAATACCTTGTTTTTGGTACTGGTCTATTAGCGGGGGAGATGGCAATTTTTCTCCATTAGTTTCGCACGACCCGATAACGAAAAATAAACCATTTTGGCATCATTTTTCTTTTTTTAGATCGAAAAACCCATAAAAATTGAACAAATTTCGACAATTTTCGCCTTTTTGGTCGAAACGGTTAGAAAAATGATGAAAAAAGCGAAATTTTCGAAATTTCAAACCATATTGGAGCCATTTTATGGTTTCCTATCAATCAAGAACCACTAAAAATATTTAAAAAGCGAATAAAAATAAAAATTGCGTCGAATTTTTTGAGAAACGATGCTGGACAAGCTGCCGCCAGAGATAATGGCGAGAATTCTGCCGTTGATGACCCCGGTGGAAAACTTGCAGCTAGCATCCACTTCTTCGAAACTGTTGACGCTCGTCACAGACACGCCGAAGAAGCATGGAATCGTCAAATGCATTATGGAGGACGGGGCTTTGTGCCTGAGCTTCTCCCCCGGCCCAGACACCTTCAAAGTCTTTTTCCTCCCAATCGACGTGCTCATCGCTTCATTGGAGTAAGGGAGAAGCTTCGCGTAAAGCTCTTTTTTAGGTGGGAAGCTGAAAATGATCATGGCATCGTTGGGTTGATGGGCGGCAGTGACGACTTGAAGACCCGCGTTTTTCGCACAGTCTTCTTCCGAGTTTTATTTGACAACTCGACGAATACGAATTTCTAGTTCGTCGACGTGCCCCTCTCTTTCGGCAACGAATTTTGGTTCTCGTTGAACATGAAAGTGACGCGGTTCACCGAGCCGAAAGCCGCCGCATCCGTCGCTCAACTACAGCAGTTTCTCGGTACGACTTTTCGTCTATTACGTCCGCTTTTTGCGATTTTGGTATCTATTGAAAGCTGATAAAGTCGAGTAGATATTCTCTACCAATTCGGAAAGTAATTTGTTTGCGGTTTACTAACATTTTTACGAAACAGACTTATTTCTAGAAGTAGCAAAAGGGTTTTAAAAATCACGCTGCTCAGTGTGCTTTTTCTGACAGCCCGAAGGCAGTTTTTTTGAAATATATTTCAGGAAACACAGTTTGGGTGGAGCTCAACCGGAATAAATTTAGTTTTTGGGAGAAAACGGGTCACAGCGGAAACAGCTAAACAACGAAGGTCGACCGGCTACGGCATAATTCAAATGACGGAGCACCGTAATGAGTAGCTTAACGTACCATCTCGTTTGTCTAATCGATTGCCTTAACTGAGTAGAAGCCGAATGCTTAGCAAAATAAAGTTTTTAACTTTTCATTTCTATTTTATCGTTTTCAGCGTACTTTCATACCCATGTCCCGACATTTTGTTGTTTCCCGGATGATTTTCACCAAAATTTGCTTTTATCTCGAAAATATGAGCTCGGACGGAAAAACAAAACTCATATTCAGAATCTACGCACAAAACTACCTTAATTCAAGATCTTTTATGCCGGAAACGAGCCTGAAGCTCACTTAAATACTTAACTTTTAACCTCGAAAACTTCCGACCCTATAAGCTGTAAAAATCAAACTACGATTTCCATGATTTTGTGCGCAAAAGACGCGCCGTGTGTTCTTCTACAAATCGTATAATCGCAAATTTGCTAATAACGTCGAAATTTTTTAAATCGGCCTTTTTATCGCAATCCCCAGCTTTTTTTCGGGCGCCCGGGGGCCCCTATCTCCGCCAGCCTTCGCCCCAATGTGGTGACCTGACCACCGTAGCCAGGTCAGCCCAGCCCCATTTTCCCCCACATAATCGGTCCAAAAAATCCGCCCAGCGATAATACGACACAATCCGTTTACGAATTCCGTAATTAGTGTACTTGTACTTCGTTGCAGTTTTAAGTAAGGCTGTATCCGCTGTGCGGGTAACTTTTTTACGTGATAAATCCCGAAAATCGACCAAAAACTTCTGAAATTTCGAAAATTGGAGAGAATACCCGAACTCGCCTTTCGGAGAACTTTCTATAGATAGCAAAATCGCAAAAATTGTGCACTACGGACTTTTCGAGTATAGACTCTATTTCCAGAACACTTCCAACCCACCGAGCTCATCTACAACCATTTGTTCGTCGATTTCATTGCCCGGGTGGCCGAATGCGAGCGATTTTTGAGGAGCGACTTTGTGAGTCTCCCTTTAGCTGCGATAAACCTTTTCTTTAGATCCGCGGGCTGGAGAAGCTGCATCTTTTTGCGGTTATGGGAAATGTGGAATGTCTGTTATCGACTCGGGCCAAAGATTTCCTCATCGGCATCACCGGATTCACCCCCAGGGCCCATCTCAACAGCATATTCGCCTTTTTGCTGCGCAGGATTTCGGTAAAAATGCGTAGATTTTGGAGTTCTGGACTGTTAGCGGGGGGGGGGGGAAGCTTGTTGATGATAAATTCTGCATTTTTATAGTGTTTTTAGTACCTTTTCATTGCTGGAAAGGTATAAGAAATTGTTTTAAACACTTGAAAATTCGGAAGTTTGACGTTTTTTGGTCATTTTTCATACATTTTTGACGAAAAAGTCGAAAATTTTAATGATTTTTTCTCATTTTTCTGAATATAAAGCTATTTAAAATACTGTTCGCCCCGCTAACACTCCAGAACCGTAAAATTCTCAGATTTTGGAGGATGGGTTTTTAGGATTGGCTGCACGGGGACGAGGAAATTGACAAGATCCAAATATGCGCTGGCAAGGACATTGAGGCCGACAAGATTTTCGGGCGCTGTGAGCTGAATAATTAGGAATTTAAATGGCTTTTAGTGGTTAACAGGGTTGCGGCGCGGATGACGAGCGATATCGGCTGGATTGACCGCACGTACGAGGGAATGGAGCTCATTCTCAGGGCCAGTGATGTGGAAATTTGGTTCTTTAGTGCTTGCTAGTGCTCTTTACTATTTTTTAAATAAAAACTGCAGACAAAAATGGATAATTTTCATATTTGCAGACATTTTTCAATCTCCTAAATGTGTTTGCACTTGAAATATAGCTATTTCGATGAAATTTCGAACAATAAAGACAATCCCATCGATTTTTTTGAAAAATTTGCAATTTTTAAATATTTTCAAAGTGTTTAAAATAATTTACCTCTTGTGCCAAAATTTTGCTAAAAAGTTGATGAGAATACTGGTAAAGGAGCTAAAAAAACCGCCGGTTTCTTCCAACATCGTCAGCACGTTTTAGGGACAAGCGTTGCTGGTTTTTTGGGACGACGCCGACGGCTTTTTCTATCTGATCCGATGCGAATATAATTACAGACGGTAATCCTTGTTTTTTGCACATAAAAAACTGCTAATTTCAGTGGTCGATGCCTCGGAAGTTTTCAACGAAACGAAGACTCGCTACGGCGGATTCGCCAGTTGATGGTCCGTTTTTTAATTTACAACAGGTCTCGATGATCGATTTTAGAGCCTGTCAAAGCAGCTGCTCGAGGGCAACGCGGTATTGGCCGAAAATGCGAGGGAGAAGCTGAAAAACGAGTGCATCAAGTTCAATGAGTACAACAACGGCGCCACGACGATCGATTTGATGACGGATTGGGTGGGAATTTTGCATAGAAATATTTGAAAATGATGATTTTTAGATCTGGCGTCCGAAAGGGGAGCGTCGATCGCCGTGGGGACTCGTTGATCGAATCATCCTCCATGATAATGTTAATCGGGTAAATGATCGCACTTTTAGCCCTGGTTTTTTAAAATTGAAATTGAGGAATGGTTTACACTATTTTTGTTACTTTCCCAGGCGTAAAAATATACAAATTTTTGATTGAAAATACAAAAATATCGATTTTCGACCAACATTTAAAAGTAAATTTTTTAATAAGTTTTTACATAGGTTTTCTACTTTCAATTGAACGTAATTTTACTAAAACTGCTATAAAATAAAGAAAGCGGCTTGAAAATTTACATTTTAGCAGTTTATAACATTTTATCTGTTTTTATCGGTGAAAATATAAAATACTGATTTTCGACAGAATTTGAAATTTTTTAAACGTTTTTCGAGGTTTTTGTAAATGGTTTTTCCGCTGGAAATATAGCTAGATTTTATAAAAACGCTAGCAAAATACCTAAATGAACAAAAATAAATTTCCTTTTCAGGTGGACTTTGCTCTTCTGCACGCCTACCGATTTGCGAGAGCCTTCGAGGAGAGGGGTGTACTGCCCGACGTCGATGAATTCAAGCCTTGTATACGCAAACAATAATTACGCCTTTTACAGAATCTGTGAGAATTAATAAAGAGTATTGAATTTCTAACGCGCTCGTCCAAATCTTTTCAACGGGCGAAAAGTCCGAAATACAAGGCTTGATTTGCGCAATCTTTGCAAATTTAAAAGGTCGGTTCTAGTTTATATCGGCAGCTTGTAATCCCGAAAACGTAGTCGAAAAACGTCGAAAAGGGTTCTACCAACCTGCCCGTCTACGGCCGGTTTTTTCGATTGTTTGTTTGTCTGTCTGCCTGTCTCTCTCGCTCTCGCTCTCTCTCTGTCACTCTCTCTCGCTCTCCCTCTCCCTCTCTCGCAGTAACTGACCGGCACGTTTTCTGATGAGATACGCCGGGTTCATCATCAATCAAAGCAGCCGGCCGGTCGCTCTAAAAATGTATCAGGTTTTTGGGAATTTTTAGCTTAAAAATGTATGTAATTTATAGCTGGTAGTTTAACTTCGTAATTTGCAGAAAAACTCACCTAACCGACTGGACGGAGCGGAAATCGAACCAGGCAGCGGCGAAAGGAAATAGGAGGAATATTAGCAGCATTTTTCGTCATCAGCGGTAAAAATAATCCGTTTTTGTAGTTTGTAGTTTTGTGGCTTGATTCCAGGTAGCTTTAATAATATAAATACAATAATATTTAGATAATATCGTGTTTTAATAGAATAAAATACAAAAATTAGACCTTAATTGTTTTGACGTTGTAATATATTTGTAATATAGTTGTATTTTGCAGTTTGTCTGTCTAGCTCTCTCTCTCTCTCTCTCTCTCTCTCTCTCTCTCTCCTCTCTCTCGTCCTAAAGGGGTGGGGAACGGAGGTTGGGGTGATTTTGGACATAGTGAGCCAGGTGGCGCGCGTTTCGGCGATGAGGAGGGAGCGCAAGGGGGTAGCCCGAAGTCCAGCCGCTTGCAGCGGCGAAGCCGCTGTAAGCGGCTGGTTACTTAGAATTGTCTTGCCACATTTTGGCTAAAAACGCGTGTTTTCTGGGCCGATATTGCAATTTTAATTGTTGTGCATTGTTAGAACTTGCATAAATCGGCTCTTTTCACAGTTTCTGGTCATAACAAGGCACAATTAAATCACTCAATCTGGCAACGATAGCTGGTTTTTTGCTCGTCTTTTCAAGAGCTTTCGATGGATACCTAAATCGTCAAAATCGGACAGGTCTGCGGGCCGCTAGAGGGGCCGTGCTTTTTTGGGACACGCTATGTATAGAATAGTATAGAGTAGTATTTATTAAACGGACTTCCCAGGTAACAACAAGACATTCCGAGACAATAAAATCACAATCCGGAGAAGGGCCCGAGTCCGGTGATTGGCGGCAGTTCACCGGTCTTCTCAAAGCTTTTCGTGTATTTGTAGGCGTACCGCATGGAGGCGTCCAACTGAAAATGGATTGTGATTTTCGGGCCTCGTCAATTTTCGGGAAGGATTTGAGTGGAACGTTTTTTAGGGGGTTTGGAATCTGGTTCTGGACTGTTAGCGGGGGGGGGGCGGGATTTTAGCAGGGGAAAAAACCAATTTTTGCTTTTCTGTCTTAGTGTTTTTAGTAGTTTTTGATTGCTAAGAAGTTATAAAAAACCAGATGGTTCCAGTCGCTTCGCGACTGTAACCATCTGGCCTTCGGGCTTCCCTTCATGCCATACACCATCACATCCATCCCTACCTTTCCAAAAATACCCCCGCTAATGGCTACAGATACCTCCCTTAGACGAAATCACCTTGAAAAACTACGTAAATACCTTCCCGATGGCTTCAGATACCCCCCATGGCTGAAATCCCCTTCAAAAACTACCTAAATACCTTCCTGATGGCTTCAAATACCCCCCATGGCTGAAATCCCCTTCAAAAACTACCTAAATACCTTCCCGATGGCTTCAGATACCCCCATGGCTGAAATCCCTTCAAAAACTACGTAAATACCTTCCTGATGGCTTCAGATACCCCCCATGGCTGAAATCCCCTTCAAAAACTACGTAAATACCTTCCTGATGGCTTCAGATACCCCCCATGGCTGAAATCCCCTTCAAAAACTACCTAAATACCTTCCTGATGGCTTCAGATACCCCCATGGCTGAAATCCCTTCAAAAACTACGTAAATACCTTCCCGATGGCTTCAGATACCCCCATGGCTGAAATCCCCTTCAAAAACTACCTAAATACCTTCCCGATGGCTTCAGATACCCCCCATGGCTGAAATCCCCTTCAAAAACTACCTAAATACCTTCCTGATGGCTTCAAATACCCCCCATGGCTGAAATCCCCTTCAAAAACTACCTAAATACCTTCCCGATGGCTTCAGATACCCCCCATGGCTGAAATCCCCTTCAAAAACTACGTAAATACCTTCCCGATGGCTTCAGATACCCCCATGGCTGAAATCCCCTTCAAAAACTACCTAAATACCTTCCCGATGGCTTCAGATACCCCCCATGGCTGAAATCCCCTTCAAAAACTACGTAAATACCTTCCTGATGGCTTCAGATACCCCCCATGGCTGAAATCCCCTTCAAAAACTACGTAAATACCTTCCCGATGGCTTAAGATACCTCCCCTAGCTGAAATCCCAGTCAAAAACTACCTAAATACCTTCCCGATGGCTTAAGATACCTCCCCTAGCTGAAATCCCTTCAAAAACTACCTAAATACCTTCCCGATGGCTTAAGATACCTCCCCTAGCTGAAATCCCTTCAAAAACTACCTAAATACCTTCCCGATGGCTTAAGATACCTCCCTAGCTGAAATCCCAGTCAAAAACTACCTAAATACCTTCCCGATGGCTTAAGATACCTCCCCTAGCTGAAATCCCCTTCAAAAACTACCTAAATACCTTCCTGATGGCTTAAGATACCTCCCCTAGCTGAAATCCCCTTCAAAAACTACCTAAATACCTTCCCGATGGCTTAAGATACCTCCCCTAGCTGAAATCCCAGTCAAAAACTACCTAAATACCTTCCCGATGGCTTAAGATACCTCCCCTAGCTGAAATCCCCTTCAAAAACTACCTAAATACCTTCCTGATGGCTTCAGATACCTCCCCTAGCTGAAATCCCCTTCAAAAACTACTTCGATACCTTCTTGATTGTTTAAGATACCTCCCCTAGCTGAAATCCCAGTCAAAAACTACCTAAATACCTTCCTGATGGCTACAGATACCTCCCCTAGCCGAAATCCCCTTAAAAAACAAAAATAACGACCGACCGGATGGAATGAGAGCAAAAAAGAAATGAAATCCCCCGTGAAAATTTTCATCCACGAAACGCGCGCGACCTGGCTCACTATGTCCAAAATCAGCCCAACCTCTGTCCCCCACCCCTTTTACTAAGGAAAAAACTTTCAAAGTTAATTTTAATAATTTAAACTAAAAGTTTTTCATAATTTTTTTATCAGTTTGGGGGTTTCTGACGGCGCACTATCCGAATCCGAAGAGAGCTAAGCTCTAGCTCCTTTCCCCTTCGAGTTGAATTCGGCTTCACACAGACGGACGGACGGACAGACGCGTCAAGAAAATTATTATAGTTGATATTTTTACAAATTTTTTGACGAGTTTTCATACATTTTTCACCAAAAAATCCCAACTGTCGAAAATTTTCATTATTTTTATATAGCTTTTATATCTAAAAACTATGTAAAATTTTATCAAAATTATTTATATTTTATTATACGGCCGTAGAGGAGAACAGGGAAAAATTTGATTCCCCACCCCCCGCTAAGAGTCCAGAACCTGGAGTCCTACCGGATAGATCGTATCCGGGGCGATCATATTGCCGATGGTTATCCACGGCGAATGCCTCTCGCCTTTCGGCCGCCAGATCTGCAAAAAATTATATACAGGATGTACCAAATTTTTGGCATTTTTCAGGCAAAAAGATCACGCTTTTTTGTAACAACTTCAAACCGCTATCCAAGCTTCGTTTTCGCCTAGGGCTTCAAAAAGGTGTCGTTGGGTCGCCAGGAAAGGCTTAAAAATCGTTAAATGGCCATTTTTGTAAAAAAGCCCTGATCAGAAAAACATCGGAAAAGCCGCCCGTTTCGCAAAAGCGTAGTCTTTTTGAGTATTCGATAGATACCTAAAGCGTGACAATCAGACACGGCTGCGGACGGTTAGGGCCGATTTTTTTGTGACACCCTGTGTTTAGCGCTTTAATAGATAATGTTTCTTATCCCAAATATATTTCCTCACCGCATCCGTCAACAGATCCATTTGCGTGGCGCCCTTGTTGTAAGCGTTGAATTGCGAGCATTCCAATTTAAGGTTTTTGATCCTCTCCGCTTCCACTTCCGGTATTGGCCACAACTGGAGCATTCCCAGGACCTGTAAGGGATGGTAAAATTTTTTAAATTTTTTTGACGCTCTATCGAATGGCGTTAAAAACTAATAGGGAAATCGCGTTTAAATGTTGTTTTTGTTGTAACTATTTTATATAGCGTTATTTTGGGACGAAATTAAAACTCTTGGTATATTTTTTGATGCTCTATCGGATGGCGTATTGAAAATGTCGAAAAAATAGCGAAAATCTCGAAAACTAGCGACTCAACCCGTTTTTGGAGGTTGTTTTTGTTTTTGCTATAACTATTTTATATCACAATATTTTGAGCTGCCATAAAAACTCTTAGGATATTTTTTTAATGTTCTATCGCATGGCGTCAAAGAATCCCCCAAAAATTGGCGAAAATATTGAAAACTCTGGGACTCTTTGGACTCTGGGAAAGCAAATCGTAGCCGCAAAAAAAGAAAAAACGAAAGACAAGTACAATCAATTCCTGGATCCTCTCGAGGGCCTTCTCGTTTCGTTCGTAACTTCCGAGGCAGCGACCCTTAAAAATGGAATTCCGCAACAAAACTGGTGCTTGGAAATTACCGGCGAAAGTTATAATTGCAGGGAATCAGATAGAAACAGCCATTCTCATCATCCCAATACACTAGCAGGGCTTGTCCCTAGAAATTGTTGTTGGTGGCGGTTCATTTGCATTATTGGGGGGTGCAGCTTTTTCTAGGGATTTAATTTTTCGAATTTAAAAAAGAGAGAAAGCGTTTTTAAAGGGTCTTTAAGTATTCCTAAACCTGAAAACTTTATAAACTATTGCTAAAAATAGCCAAAAATAATTGGTTTTTTGTCCAACGTTTTAAAGCTTTTCAGACGCTATGAAAATACTTACTATTTTTCGGAATGTGTTTGTTTGTTACAAGGCATTTCCGATTTTGCAAAAAAGTTGCCCCCCGATAATGCGAAAGAACCAGTTTTAGTATGCTATTGTAAAAGCCGTACATCGCTGGCCCTGAGGATGAGATTCAATCCCTCGTATGTCCGATCGATCCACCCCAATTCAGGACGCATCATCGCGCCCAGCTTATCGACCACTAAAAATTGCTCTTGAAAATGGATATAAATGAGACTGACGTGCCAAAAGACGAGCGCCAATCTGTCGGTAAAAGCCGGGCTCGATCTGGATTTTCCCGTATTCGTCCGTGCCGCGCAACCAACGCTGCAAAACTTTCGAGGTTCTTTTGGTTCTTTAGGATTCCCGGGGGGACCAATTTTTTTCCTGGCGGTCCCGGTTGGCCTAGTAATTAAATAAGTGTTTTTACATTGATTTTCGTAGGGTTTAGCTATATGGAAAGTAGAAACTTTCAAAAAAGTTTGAAAAAGTCGAAAATTTGGCCATTTTGGGAGGAAAATGCCATTTATCTACCCAAAATTAATTTTTTGATTAAAATTTATATAGTTTTGATGCTTAGGAATAGTTAAAAACAATTTTAAAGTGCATCCGCTATTTTTAATATGAAAAATTTAGGTTTGGGCCGAAAAAAATGTGGTCCCCCCCCGGCCCGCGAATCCTCAACAACAGTTCTTTCCCGGAAAAACGATACCTGGATGAGGGCATTCACAAAAATTTCGAGATGCACCAAGTGTGCGGGATTGCCCTCGTTCCCCTTGATGGCCATCATCAGCTCTTTGGGTCGTAGACCGTGCATGAACGGCAGGTTCATCGGCTCCACCGCCAGATGCAGCCTCTCCGCCGCGCATAACTAAATGAGGGCGTTTTTTCGTTAGTAGATTTCGAGGTTCTTTCGCATTATCGGGGGGGGGGGATCATTTTTGCTGTCCATAAATATTTCCGCTTCGCAACTTTTCAACCCTGGCCCCGTCTTCCACAATGCTTCATCACTTTGCATAAATTCCTGAATTCCTCTGCAGAAAAATGAAAAGCGCGTCCTCCCCCCCATTATATAGGCTTCCCCCACTTCCGGTGCATGCTAATTGATTCCGGCTCAAGTCTAGGAACCCCCCCAGCCGACTTTTCAACTTTTCTACCTTCCTTATTTTTATTTTTCGCTACTTTTTTCGACTGAACTGCAATGTAGTCTTACTAATTAGCCTACAGCGAACATTTTGGTATACTTTAGAGCTCGCTAGCACAAAAGGGGGCCGAGATACAAAAGTTGGCGCCGGCTGGGGGGGGTTTCTAGACTCTTACCTTGATTCCGAACCAAGGGCCGAGCGAAATTTTCACAAAAACCTAATTTTAAAATCGAAAACAGTTGATTTTAAAAAAACTCCTATGCGTGCAGTCGTGTCATGACCATTATGCACCTAATGACGTATCATACGTACCCTTAACTTTCTCCCCTATTCAGATACGCCTGGAACATACGGACGGAAGGGCTTATTTTCAAAATGTCGAAATTCATAATGTCGAAATTTCATAATGTCGAAATTTACATAGGCTAATATTACCGGTAAAGTCCCCGAATTCTAGGCAAAAGAATGTTGTCGTGAAATAAGATAAAAAAATAGAATGTGGGAAAATTTTTTTGGCTGGGATTTGGCGGTTTCACCGGTAATATTAGCCTATGTAAATTTCGACATTATGAATTTCGACATTATGAAATTTCGACATTCTGAAATTTCGACTTTATGATACCAATTCGGACGGAAGTTGGATGCAAATGCGCACACACACACACACAAACACTATTTTTTATATATAGTAGGATTAACTCAATTTCAGGTGGAAAAACAATAAAAACAACTCAAAAAAAGTCTTCGGTGGTTTTTTTATGAAACTTTGTAAAAATTACCTTACCGTCTACTGATACCGGATGTAAAGCTATGCCAAGACGTCGAGGAAGACGGGCAACTGCTTGTTCCTGGTGATTTTCACTTCCTCCGCCGAGATATTTCAGATGCAAAGTTTCTATACTAATCTTACTGAGCCTGTCCCTCCGGCTTGAGTTGTAACTAAAAGCCGCTTTAGAAAACATTTCTAAAGCTTTAAGTTTATGTAACCGGCGCTAGCCACTCTCTCTCTCTCTCTCTGTCTCTCTCTGTCTCTTTGTCTCTCTCTCTCTCGCTCTCTCTGTCTCTCTCTGTCCCTCTCTCTCTCTCTCCTCTCTCTCTCTCTCTCTCTCTCTCTCTCTCTCTCTCTCTCTCTCTCTCTCTCTCTCTGTCTCTCTCTCTCTGTTTCTCTCTCTCTCTCTCTCTCTCTCTCTCTCTCTCTCTCTCTCTCTCTGTCTCTCTCTGTTTCTCTCTCTCTGTCTCTCTCTCTGTCTCTTTGTCTCTCTCTCTCGTCTCTCTTCTCTCTCTGTCCCTCTCTCTCTCTCTCTCTCTCTCTCTCTCTCTCTCTCTCTCTCTCTCTCTCTCTCTCTCTCTCTCTCTCTCTCTCTCTCTCTGTTTCTCTCTCTCTGTCTCTCTCTCTCTCTGTCTCTCTCTCTGTTTCTCTCTCTCTGTCTCTCTCTGTCTCTCTCTCTGTCTCTCTCTCTCTCTCTGTCTCTCTCTGTCTCTCTCTTTGTCTCTCACTCTGTCTCGCTCTCTCTCGCCCGGACTCATATTGCCGTCCGCTCTTTTAGAGCACAAAATGCGACTGCAAATCGGGCATTCACTTCCGATCCTCGAAGAATCAACGCTGTTGTAATATGATCGGATTTTATTCCAAGAGGTTTCAGAGCTGTATCCGTAGTCTATAGTTGCAGTTCATCGTCCCGAAAACGTAGTGAACTTTATCCGGACAGCCAGTTCGCACTTTTATGGGAGAAACACGAAAAATACGATGGTTTGGAGACATTCTCAGCCCAATCGCGAGAGATAGAGCTGTTGTTTCATCGTCGAGAGGGGAAGGGCACGGTGTTCGCGGGATTCTGGAATGAGCATCAGGTTTTTGAGAAAACGAGAAATATTCTGAAAGGCAGAAAAATAACTAAAATCTGAGCTCTTCCTCACTCTCGGTATCTGTCTGTCTGTTTGTCTGTCTCTCTCTCTCCCTCTCTCCTCTCTATCGCTCTCTCTCTCTCTCTCTCTCTCTCTCTCTCTCTCTCTCTCTCGCAGTAACCCACCGGAACGCTTTTTGATGAGATACGCAGGGTTCATCATATACGTTGCGTCGAAACCCTCGGCCCCCGTCGGGTCGAAAATTTCTGAAAAATCTAAAAAAAAATCGTTTTTTTCAGAGATTTTGGGGCAGTTTAGCGGAGTTTCTTTAGGAATCGCTAAGCTGGAATACAGGCAAGCTAGCGGAGGCGATTTGGGAGCAATTTTTGCGAAAAATTGAAAATATTATCTGGCAATCTGGCAGCGTTTCTTTAGGAATCGGAAAACTGGCGTCTAGGCAAGCTAGCGGAGACCGTTTGGGAGCCAAAACACCTACCGTATGCGGGACTAGCCGCGGCGAGACCCAGAATGAAGACGAGAATGCACAGGAAAAGGCGAAGCATTTTGGCGCTACAAAATTGGATTACGGTATAATTCGCTCCACAATTTCTGAAGAATATGATGAAAATTAAAATTAAAAATGATTTTTTTGTGGTTACGGTAGGTTACCGTAGTCCCTGAAAATCGTCAAAAATGACAAACCGTCGAGCCAAATGATCTGGGGCAATATTTGTGGAAAGGCCAGTGAAATGCCAGCGAGTATCAGCAGGTGTAAAATGTCGTGGAATCGCATCATTAGATGGCCACGATGTAATAAAAAAAAATAGAGGCCAAATATTAATTGGCTACAAACCACAAAAGTTAAAATTGGAGACCACTACGGGACCGTACTCTTGACGGCTCTTTAAACTGACTGCCAGAAAGTCCAGAAATTCCGTAAAAATTGTAAAATTTTAGGAAAGCGCTTTTAGAAGGTGTAAATGGCTAAATTGACCCAAAAAAATTAAAATTATCGCAGCAAATTACGCTAAATTTGTTTTGAAAAAATTTTGTAGAACAAATCGCTAAACTGGCCTTCAGAAAATACAAAATATGCCTTGAAAGTTGTAAAACTGATTGTAGAACCTCTTAACGTGACTGTACTAGTGACGACACGCTAAACTGACAGTCAGCAGATTCTAAGAACAGCTTTAAAAACGCAAAACTTAAAACTGAAACTTATAAAAGTCAGAAAACCGTAAGCTGGCTGTTAACTAGCTGAAAAATGCTCTTAAAATTCGTTTAAATACAAGATTTTCTTCGAATACAAAAGACGAGGCGCTAAATTGACGTCCGGAAACCCTGGAAATTCATCAAAATGTAAGTTGAGGTGTCGAAAAATAGAATGCGCACGTAATCGTGGAAAATCCGTGGCGGATAGGAAACCCTAAACTCACTTCCGCTCCACCCCCATTCCGCCAAAGATCCCCCCCCCCCCCGCCTTGCTTTCCATAACAACTTTCTAAAGGCAGATCTTGATTTTTGGATTCAGGAGGGTCTTTTCGATGTTCCAAAATTTCCAAAGTGATCCTAATTACGCCGTAATTTTTGTAGAAAAAAATTAAAGCGTCGCAAAATCTAAGTTCAATGTCATTTTTGCAAAAAATCAAGTGCATTACGGCATGAAAATGTCGGCCGCTGGAATGCTTGCATGGTGCAAATGCGGAAAATGCGCCACAAAGCGTCAGACTACAAACGTGTTGTATCCTATCTTAGCGTAGCGTATCTTGGCGTAGCGTCTCGGAGCCCAGCGTATCTTATCGTAGCGTATTGTAGCGTAGCGCTGGTAACGTATCGTTCCCTAGCGTAGCGTATCTTAGCGTAGCGTATCGTATCTTAGCGTAACTTTCATAGCGTATCATATCATAGCGCTTTTAAAAAGGCAAGGCTTCTAAAAAAACATACGGTAATCGATTACGCAATGAAATTCTTAGCTGTCGATTTCCGGCAGCGAATTTATCCGGCCGAAAATGACGTGTTTTCCGTTTTGCCGACTACTAGGGGGGAGGCGTTAATTGGAAAGGCGCGTAGTCCCTAAAAAAGGATGAGGAAAAAGAGGTGTCTATTGGAGCAATTCGGAATTGACCTTCTTTTAATAAGGGCAGAAAAAGAAGGGGGCAAATTGCCCGGCGGTTCCAGCCAACCGTATGTTTTGGGTATAATTTAATTGCGGGATGCGTAGACACTCGAAAACATGAATATTTCATCAAATTGACAACCAGTTGAACGAATTATCCGACAAAATTCGAAAAATTGACCTTGGGCTTCGAAATACGAGTTTGATGGCGTGATCGAATGGATTTTTGCGATTTCAAGGGTTTTTCCGTCGGGTTTTTTTTATCGGAAGCTTTAAAATGTTATCCACTCAAGCGAGAAAGTTGAAAAATCGCTTAAAGGGGCGGGGAAAGTCAGATTTAATTTCATGGCGTAATCGAATAGATATAATAATTTATTTCTCGCACTTAGGTTTACAAGTAAACACTTATTAGTGGAGGTAAGGTTGGAAGTTTGCACGATTTCGAGGACTTTTCGAACTCCAGCTCTTTTGCTTTTTTATTAGATCTCTAAAATGGCGGCCAGTCCACCGGAAAATTAAAAAAAGTGCTTAAAGAAGCCGGGAAACAAAGAGAATTTTATAGCGTAATCGATTACCAGACAAAAACCTCGAAATTTATGAAAAAAACCAGAAAGTGTCTTCTGTCTGGTGGCCCATCATAAAAAATAAGTATCCATGTTTTCGGCTCATTTCTGGTGAATTTTGTGAGTTGTGTGGGAAGCATGCCCTCAGGCTATTAGCCCCCAAAAACATTGCTAGCAGGAATGGGAGTGGTTCTTGGGAATTCTGAGCCTAATCGAGCACCAGAATATCCCCCACGCCATCCCCCCCATATCAAAGTTCGTTTCTCCAAAATAAACGCTGAAATTATGTGGTTTTTTGGGGATCTGTATTTCGTGTCGTAATTGGTTTTCTAGCTGTCGCCGTCCCTTTAACAGTCCGTAATTCCTCGCGTAATCGTTTCCAGCCCGGAATATTGCCAAATACCACGAAAATTCAATAAATACGGATTTTTCTTCGAACTTGCAAAGCGCAATTTCGTGGCGTAATCGATTTCCGCCTGTCGCTATCCCTTTAAAAGCCAGGATTTTCTATTGTTTTCATCTTTGAATTTGAGCACCAAAAAATGCTCTAAATGCCACATTACTCCATTCATAAGGTTTATGCAGGGATTTTCGTAAGTAGAAAGACGACGGAAATGGAGAAACAAGAAGAAAATCATGAAAAAAATCAATAAATTCGGCAAAAATCGATAAATTATTCGATGGGTTTGAGCATTAGCTGAATGTGCAAATCATTTGCATCGACGAAAAGGGACGCGTCGCGGATTACCTGCAAAAATTGGTTGTAATACAATTTTTCGGATATTCACCTCGTGGAATGGCAACTCGACTCCTTTGTGCTTCAGGCTCAGCTCTGTTGAATCTCTGCAAAAAAGGAATTTCATGGCGTAATCGATTCTGCAGCTTCGTTATTTAAATGACCTGGAATCTCTGGGAAAACATAGTTTCGTGCCGTAATCGACTACTAGAGGGATTCTCGATTACGTATTTTACGGATTTTTGAATGATTTCGTGAGTTTTACAAACTGAATTACATAGCGTAATCGATTGCGGTGTAATTGACCTGTCGCCCTCCCTCAAAAATAAAAATTCAGGCCGACCTCGACTTTGTGAAATTCTTCCTGCCGGCCACCGATCGCAACACTTTGCTCTCATCACAAATTGTAAACAGGTACTCCACGGATCTGGAATTTCATGGCGTAATCGAATGTTTTTCTGGTCCAAAATATCGATTTTTTTCGCTACCTCGCTTGATCAATTTCCTCCGCCACCAATATCACCCTTTTCGTCTCGTCCCCACCGTAATTTGAGCCGATTATCTAAAAAAAAATCAAAGATAAAAAATGGCTAGAAATCAAAATCATTATTTTACAAAAATAGATTTTTCTGAAAAATTACGGTAACTTACCTTCAGGGACCACTTCCATCCATCATTCTGGATAGCAGAGGCACGGGTCATAAACTAAAAATGACAATTAGGGGTGGTGTACGGTGGATTGGGTCGTACCGAGGAGCTGATCTCTGGTCGAGTACGACTGTCGAGATCATGACGACTGAGGATGATACGCGCTGTCCAACGCACGTCGGAATAGAGCCGAACGAGGAACTGACAGCCGGAAAATTCGCTGGAATGGGCGGGGATACGGTAGATACGGTAATTGGTGTAGTTTGTAGTCTTTGAGCTGTAGTCTGTAGTTCGGAGGAAAAAAATTTGTCCAAAATGGTGTTTTAATAGCTAAATAAACACAGAATATGCTATACTGGCATCCAGACTACAAAATGACATTAAATTTAAATTGGTTACGGTATGTTAAAAATGGTGCAGGCCCGGAAAACTGAGCATTTCAAAAAAATGTAATTTCCTCCATTTTTCGGAATTTGAATTTTTGCCTGTTTTATTGATTTAAAATAGACGATAAATATTTAAGTGGACAGACTACGGTACTTTAAAGGGCCGCAGAAGTTTTTAAAGGACCGTTGAACCCAAAAAATGCGAAAATTCTGAACTTTTGAAAAACTGTTTTTTACGCAATTTTTCCCAGTTCGAGCGATTTCTAAGCCATTCTAGGCATTTTAAGGGTACGATAAAGCAAAACCCACACTGCTTGAGCCCTCCTGGCCAGCGGTTGTGCCTGGTATTTGTAAGCCAAATTGACGAATGGTAGATGGAGGGAACGGGCTGTCTCCGGCATTTCGCCCTCTTCCACCTCGGCCAGCTCCTCACCGGACATGAAGGGGAATCTGAAAACCAGCGCATTCTATAAAAGAAAATGCAAAATATACAAAATATAAAAATATTTGTTATACAAAATATACTAAAAAATGGCCCTTAAAGGCCCATTAAAGTCAAAATTCAGTGAATTACCGTATACTCTCGATACCGGGAAGCCAAAAAACTATATTTTACTTGTTAGAAAGTAACAGCATTCCAAAAAAATTGGCTAAATTTTGATGTCACCATCCCTTAAAGTATCCCCGGGAGTACGGTAAGCTGCACTGCGCACCTGATTACCGTAATCCGAGTAGAAAACTTAAATCTGGCGACTTGCCCTCGAAATCCCATTCAAATTCTTACCTAATCAGCGGCAGTAGATTATTCATCAGTTTTGCCACCGTAATCGGTTCTCTTCGTTCGGGGTGGGAAGGGGAATTCAGCCATCGGAGGACTGCTTTCCAGACAACGAATTCGTCTGCAAAAATTTATCTATCGCTGTCTCACCTCACACTCTCTCTCGCTCTCTCTCAGTCTCACTCTCTTGCTAGCTCTCTCTCCCTCTCCCTCTCTCTCCTTCTCTCGCTCTCTAGCTCTCCCTGTCTCTCTCTCCATCGCTCTCTCTCTCTCGATTTCTGCTATCTGACACCTATTCTGCCGTATTCCCTAACTCCCATCAACTTACTGGATACA